CCTCCATTTTCAGAATTATCCCCAACACCTAAATTAACTAAAAAATATTTCTGCAGCCCACCACTTCTGAAAAACGTCTGAACTTTGACAGAATCAAAGAGCGTACTTTTCTCTCCCTTCCATGCTTGCTGATGATTTTTTTTTAAATGTTTGCGGATGATACCTCTGTTAATAGTGAGAAATTCACATGTTTTACAGCGAAATCCATCTAGTGGTATCCCCAGCTCTTGAAATGCGCAAGCGGGCTGCTTGGGAAGCTCAACATCCTTTGGGTCGCTTCTTTCGCAGTGCTCAAAGCGTTGTACAATCTCTTTTCGTACTTTAGCGGGCGTTGCATGCTGTTCAAGCAGATGCTTGTCTAGATTTACTACGCCGCTGCAGTGCTGCTTACACACTAGTACACCAAAATCAGCTAGAAAGCAGAGAATATCGTCGCAGTTCTCTACTGAGAGTTCCGGCGGCTTTCTGCATGTGGGTGCGCTACTATCACTGCTTTCTGCGTTCTGTTGTTGTGCGGCCGCACGGGTGTTCCAGACGGGGAGCTCCATTGTAACCCTAACTGTACCCTACCCTACCCTAACCCTAAGCTGAGATAAATATCACTGTACTGCTTTGAAAACTTATATACGTACTAATGCGATATATGCGATAAATTTTTGTATGAGAACTAAGTACTTAATAGTATTGTAGCGTAATGTCTTGGGGGTGGGGTAAATTTCGCGTCTTAGGGGGTGCAAATGGCCCGATTAGTCTACGCAACCCTAACGCTAAGCCTGTTTCAGCCGATTTTCTCGCGGTTCAGACTCCAAACCGCGCCTCATATTGGTTAGGGGGGCTGCCTTGTCTCTATCTTTCTTTATGCGTTCCGACGGCCGCTTGCCCCTGGGGTTAAATGGGGGGCTGCCTTGTCTCTACCTTTCACTCGTTCCGACGGCCGCTTGCCCTTGGGGTTAAATGGGGGGCCTCTCTTTTCTCTCTCTCTCTATTGATCTCTTCTCTACTTATCCAAATCCTTCTTACCCTCTCTCTAAATACTATATCCCTAATTCTGTCTTTTGCCTATATCTCTTCTACCCTTCTTTTTTTGCACCCTTCTTATCTATTTTCTCTTATTATCTTTTGTCTTCTATATACCCTCTTATTATACTTTACTTTCTGCCTAATACTCTCTCTATATATACTCTTATTTCTTACTCTTACCTTATCGAATCCCCTATTTCTTAAATATACTAATCTTAACCCTTATCTAAATCTACCTCTCTAATCCCTATCTTATCTATCTTCCTTTATGCCTTCTGACCCCCGCTCTCTTTTTACCGGAAATGGGGGGCCTATAACTACACCTCTATACTCCTATCTACCTTGTCCTCTCCTAAAACTCCTTCTCCTACTTACTCCCCTACCATTACGAACCCTACACCTTTCTATTACTCTTAACCTCCTTTTATTCTCTACTCTACTACTCTATTCTGCCCCTTTTCCTCTGTCCACCCCACTAATCCCTCTCCCTCTTCTTTTCCTCTTCCTATCCCTTTACCTCCCCCCCTGCTTGTTTAATCTCCCCTCTCTTTAAATACGAGAACCCTAACCCTATCTCTATAATCTTACCTCTTACCCGCTCTACTCTATATCTCTTCCCCTTAATACCTACTTTCTTTTCTACCTCTTACTTTTGCCCCCCTCTTCTATATAGTTAGTGACACTTTGTATATTCATTTCTACTTACTACTATCTACTACTATTTACTACTATTCACTACTACTTACTGCTATTTACTACTATTCACTGCTATTCACTACTATTCACTGCTATTCACTACTATTCACTGCTATTCACTACTATTCACTGCTATTCACTACTATTCACTGCCATTCACCACTATTCACTACTTTATTCTCCTATTTACTACTATTCACTTTTATCATACTATATCTTCTAGTTATAATTTATCATCTATACTTAATTACTATTCTATTAAATTACTTTATTAACTTGTTATATTCCCTACGTAATGCCTTCTCTCTCCTTTTACCTGATTTCCTACTAACTCTCCTATTACCTATCTATTAAAATATATTCATCTACCCGCCGAATTACCCAACTTAACTTGTTCCCTTCAATCCCCCCCCATCGCTTCTTCTCGCTCCCCCACCGCGCCCACGCCTTAAATATCCCCCCAACCTCCTCTTCGTCCACCCGAAACCCAAGCCCGCCATCCTCCTCAATCGCCTGCTCCATTACCTGCTGTACTGCTAACCCTGCCTTCATTAACCCAATAATAAACACCTTGCCTAGTACCCCACTATACTGACACCCCGCCTCTCCCTGCTTCCGATATCCCCCCTTTTGTACGTCAAATACAAAGCTCTCGCACACCGCCTGCGGTAGCCAGCACCCATAGCAGCACGAATACGGCACAATCTGCCAGTTATCCTGCAACATCTTCAGTCCCTGAAGCCCCTCTTGACCCCCCTCCTCCTCACACTCCTCCCACCCATGCCCCCGCCCATCTCTTCCGCTCGCTACACACCACTGACACCCCGACCCCCACTTCTCCATCACCCCAACCAGCTCTTCTACCTCCATCGCATCTCCACACTGCCGCTCCGCTTCTGCCATCCCTACCCACTGCCGCTGCCGTTCCTGCTGCTCAAACGCCAACCGCAATCCCATCTCCTCCCCCTCTCCCTCCCCCTCTCCCTCCTCCTCCTCCTCCTCCTCCTCCTCTTCATCACTACTCTCCCACTGGCACCGCTGACATGCTACTTCATCCCCCTTACACATCCCCCGCTCTTCTCCGTCCATTGCCCAGTCTAGTACCGCTCGCATGCACCCTGAGCCCTCTACAAATAACTGCATATCCTCTTCTACCTCTCCCCCTTCTGCTCTCACAAACACTTTCTTTCTCCCTCTTATCTGATATCCCCGCATGATAATCGCCTCGCTCTTCTCTCCATCTCGTCCCGCCCGTCCACTCTCCTGTGCATACTGCCGCATCTGCTGCACCCCTCCCACATGCACCACCGCCCGGATCCTCGGTGCGTCTACCCCTAATCCCAACGCATTTGTCGCTGCAAACACCTGCCGCTGCCCACTCGTCAACTCCCCCACAATCTTCTTCTTCTCCTCTACTGTCCCTACCGCCCGGTAGTAACACGCCGCCCCCAGCACCTTGCCCATCTGTTGGGTCCGTGCTATCGTCCCACAGTACACAATCACCTGCCCCGGCACTGGCTATCTCTTCTTTAGCTTCTCCACCAATGCCACAACTGCCTTTTCCTCTTCCTCTACCTTGTACTCGTGTACGCTATACCGGATATTCTTGCGTGTCGTCTGCCCCCGGAACCAGTAGCACTTGCTCTTATTGGGCAGTCCCATCACATCTAAAAACTGCTTCTCCTCCTTCGGCCGAAGCGTCGCCGTCAAATACACCATCTGCGTCTCCACCCGGAGCAGCTGTCGTAGTCCTAGCAGCCGGCTGCGGAATCCCTTGAGCGAGTCTAGTATCGAGTGACATTCGTCAATCACAATCCGATCCAGCCGCCCCATCGACCGCTCCCGGTTGATATAATGCCCAAACGCCTCTCCTATAGCCGCTTCGGGCGTCACAAACATAATCTGCACACTCCTGTACGGACGCCGGCTATCCCACTCCCCACTAACAATCCCCAGCTCGTCACACCGTGCCTTCATGTCAAACCGCAGTGCCACCAACGGCACCACAACAATAGTAACCCCTGTCGACACAGACGCTGGTAGCATAAACAGTACGCTCTTACCAGCCCCAGTCCCCATAATCACTACTACGGGACTCTCATACTGCATAATCGCCTGTATCGCTGGCCGCTGTACACTGCGAAACTGCGCATTGCATCCCAGCAGCCGCTGCAGCTCACTGTCCACGTCCACCAGCCGCATCATCTTCCACCGCCGGTACTCCTCCTCCAACGCCTCTCTGCGCGCCTTGACCACCAGCGGGCTTCGTTGCAACGGCAGCAGCTTCTTCTCCAGCGCAGATGGGAGCTCCAAAAACCTGTGCCACTCACTGCTGGCTACCCGGAACATGAACCGCTTCGATTCCACACTAAACACCGCCTCATACAGCGACCGCCCATAAATCGCCCCAGCCACCCTGCTGCCATGCCCAGTCTGCAAGTCAAACCCCTCATCTTCTTCTGACGACGTATGGTCCTCATCGGTATTCAAGTACGCCTTGCGTGCCTTGGGGTTCTGGATATACCGCCGCCAGATTGCCTTGGATGCATGCCGCCACCCAATCACATTCAACTTGACGCCCATGTACTGCAGCGACGCCTTTTGAATCCTCAGCTTCAGTCGGTTGGAGTTCCACTGCTCCACAGTCGGCGGCCTGTCAGCCCGTACCCGGCTCTCTTCTCTCTCGTCTTCTCCTTCCTGTCTCTCTTCTCTCTCGTCTTCTCCTTCCTGTCTCTCTTCTCTCTCGTCTTCTCCTTCCTGTCTCTCTTCTCTCTCGTCTTCTCCTTCCTGTCTCTCTTCTCTCTCGTCTTCTCCTTCCTGTCTCTCTTCTCTCTCTTCTCTCTCTCTCTCTCTCTCTCTCTCTCTCTCTCTCTCTCTCTCTCTCTCTCTCTCTCTCTCTCTCTCTCTCTCTCTCTCTCTCTCTCTCTCTCTCTCTCTCTCTCTCTCTCTCTCTCTCTCTCTCTCTCTCTCTCTCTCTCTCTTCTCTCTCTTCTCTCTCTTCTCCACTCTCTCCTTCACCCTCCTCGTCCGACACCTCCCGCCGCGCTACAGTCCTCACCCGGCTCGCTTTTCCTGCTCTTCTCGTGCTCTGTGCGTCTGCATGCCGCTTTCGTCCACGTGTGGGTTCTTGCCATCGCTGCTCTGCGCGTGGCTCCCACATGTACCCACTCTCGCTCTCTCCCTCCGCCTCCTCCCCCCATGCTGCTACCACCAAACGCTGCCAAAATGGACGCGCAAACCACAAGTAAAATACCACCAGCTCGCCTACTTCGCGTGGGACGTACCGGTGGATCACTTTGCCTTGTCCAGTCTGGGCAATATTTTTGTGATACGTAGTAACAAAAACCACTGCACCATCTTCGATAAAAATTCCGCGACTGTTACCCTGCCCATCATTTTGAAAACGAATGGTGAGTAACTCACTACCGCGCGGCGGCGCACCTCCTGTCAAATGCACAAGTACGGCAAGTGCGTGGCGGGCTTGTTGCATGCCTTGGTAGTATGCCTGGATGCGCTCCTTCACCCACACCAGCCCACCACCCCCCGCTATCGCCACACGCGACGCAGTAACATCGGCAAACTCGTGTCGCAGTCGCTTCTCCTGCTGAATACGCCCTAGTAGCCAGCGCTTGGGGTCTCCTACACTGGTAGCCTGGCGGTTGCGCGCATCTTCCATAAAACTCCACCCAGCCTGCTGTGCAGCCGCATTGTCCACCAGCTTGTCCCAGTAAATAGCGGGACACGGCGTCGTCTCGGGTACTACCTCGCCCTCACCGTCTAGCTGCAGCAGTAGCAGTTGTTTCAGCATGTCCTGCCGCGTGCTGGCAATCATGCCGTGCACCATCGTCCGTAGCTGCGCCATGCTGAACTGGATCTGCCCATACAATAACGTGTCCCCTACCCAGTCCACCACGCCGTCTGCATTCGTCGTGTACCGGATCTTGAAGCCAAATGCTCGCAGCCGCAAAATGGCGTCCATGGGCGTGGGCTGCCCGTTGTAGTCCGTCAGCGCCATGAACCGGTGGCACATGTCCTGCACCAGCTCAAAATGGGTTGCTGCTGTCGTGCTGGCCGTCTCTTGGCTGTGTCCCCCAGCCACCAGCTTGTCGATCTGGGCATTGCGCTCTTTGTGTGCTTGGTACAGCACCAGCATGCGCGATATGCTCACCATGGCCGACTGCTTGGGGGTATACATGAGCGGATCTAGCCATGCTGGGGGTATACATGAGCGGATCTAGCCATGCCCTGTCCGCGCTGACACCCAACACAGCCATGCCACTGATCAAGCCGGTCTCAAACTCGCTGCTGGCCAGCTTGTGATCTAGCAGCGCAAGCATAAATGCAAGCACTTGGTCCTGCAGCGCCTCGGCGTCTTCTGCATCCAGCGGCTCGTCCTCACTGTCACTGTCCCCGTGGCTATCCCCCAGCGCTATGCTCCGCGCTGCGCTAGCTGCCTCCTCTTCTGGGCTATACCCCGTCAAATCCTGCATCTCCTCCAAGCACGCCTTTTGCTCTCGCGTCAAGCGGTATGGTGGGCGTCTGCCCTGCACTTCGTCACTGGAATCTGGCTGGACGATGGGGAGCTTATACGTCCGCCAGATGTACGCAATAATCTGGAGCCACACGGTGCGATACTTCTTCATCGTCGGCTCCGTCTGGCTGGCATTGAACGGCTTTTCGTTGCTGGTCGTTCCATACTCGCGTCGGTTGATGTGCATCATGGCGGGCATGCCTACTACCCCTGAGTGGGATACCTGCTGTGCTCTCCAAATCACCATCTCAGCAGCCCAGCACACGTCCTGCAGTGCCCGTTCGTGGTGGCTGGGTGTCTGCGCCATGTCTAGCAACCACACCCGATCTAGTCCCTTCAAGTGCCGTTTCCAGCCTGCCCGATGGAGCCATGTCTGGTATCCCCACCGGCTGCTGTCCTCTTCAATCACGTTGCTGGGGTTTCTGCTTTCCACTACCTGGTCAATCTGTCGTACGGACGCAGCCAGTGCACGCCTTAGCTGCGTCTCCTCCTCATCGCTGTCTGCCGGCTCAGCCGGTGCAGCGCCCTGGACTTCAAACAGCCGGCCCAGCGTGCTGGTGTTCTGGAACTTCTGGCACATGACACTGCCTGTCCACCTCTGATATATGGCTGCTGGACGGCCGATGCTGCGTGTATTGCGGCTAGTCCAATTGTGCTGCTTTGAGCCATGCTCTTGGATGCGCTTCTCACTGCGATTAATATACCCACACTCCCAGCACTTCAAGCCGTCTGTGTACACGGGCAGATGGGGCAGCGGCGCAGCATCTGGGCGTGGAAACATAACCTGGTCTGCACTGTTGGCCCAGTTGCGCAGCCATGGCTCCTGGCTGGTGGCTTCTACTATGCTGCGCCGTGTGTGGGGAGTCAGCTCCTGGTGTTTGGTGTCCAAGTGGGTGCGTAGCTGTGACTTGACAACGCCCTGCTTATGGCTCTTGCATATCGCTATGCAATGTGTGGGCAAATACACAAAAATCTCTCGAAACGGATCCATAGTAGTAAGCAATTATAGTATAAGCTATGCTATTGTTGTAAACTGCGCTATTACTGCTACGTAGTGGTAGACTGATCGCTATGTACATTTTTGTTTGTTTTGGTTACTCTGCTGACACAACCTTAGTCGTACGACGTTGCCCTGGCGTGCCCAAAACCCTAATTCTGGGGTTGGGGTTAACTTGGGGTTAAGCCCTAACCCTACCCTACCCTAGCGCATGGGCCACATCAGCGAACACCAACTTTTCATCACATTCTATCAAATATCTCACGCTACAGTTGTCGCATGGCCATAAAAAGTGGTGAATAGAATTCGCACGAGTTTTCTGTATCTATGATAGAAGTTATATACATTTTTAGCTATTCTAACCTTAATCCTTTTCTGTAGGATTAAGGTCCGCAGACTCGCCAAGAAATCTGGGATTAAGGTCGATTTTGACCTTAATCCTGTCAGGGATTGAGGTTAGGGTTGTTCTCCTGGTTCTTGCGATTCAAATTCTTCAACAGCTGAAGCAATTGGATCCATATTGGTGGAGTTATGGCGTGTTGAAGTTTGAGGCCAGTTTGGTGTTCTGGTGCGGGGTGTGCGCCAGCTGAACATGTGCGCCAGGTGCACGGACACGGTAACCCTACCCTAGGGTTGACTTGGGGTTAAGCCCTAAGCGCGACTCTCAGTGAGCACGGGCCATGCCCACGAACACCAACTCCCTCCCCCATTGTATCTAATAACTCACGCTACATAAGTCGCATGATCATAAAACGTATTGCATTGAACGTGCGCGAGTCTCCTGCATCTAAGGTAGAAGTTGCATCTGTTTTGAATATGGTTTGGACGGTATCTGCTACTGTGAACTGGTGGGTAAATGGGCAGGGGTACAACGCGCTATCCGACCATTGTTCACAAAGGACCATAGTTCGGTTTGGCATAACGAGTAGGGATTGATGATAGGGATTGATGATAGGACATGGAAGCTTGTTGATTTTTCACGTTCTTGTCCCATAACATAAGGCGCGTGTACATTTCTGCGGAGGTCAACCCGCCCATGGTGGTACCACGGCGCACCAGCCCTAGCAATTTCGTGAACCTTGGAACGATGCGCAAGGCCATTACTTTTTGGCAGCTGTCGCCAAAGCACACAACGCTGCTGGAAGCCTGCACAGTGCTTTGAGCAGTAAGCTGTCACCATCTCGACTTACAACACTTGCTTCTTCTCAAGATTGCAGGACTGCCCATATTGTTCAGATACATCGTCCATCACAACCACGTACCCAACCTCAGGCACCACTTCATCTCAGCCTACAGAGGGAGCACTCCACCGGAATTTTGTAACGTGTTCATACCTTACGTCCTCCAAGGTACTAATCCGGACCCAAGGCTTGAATTTGGATGTCAGAGGTTTTTCAAGCCCCTTGGGCCCGCAAATGTGGTTAAGATCGATGTGAAACAATCTCTCGTAGAGTTTGTTCCGCTTGGCCGTCCAGGTGCCCTATACAAACTGAGCACAGACGTAGGCAAAACGAGGTTCTCACTTACCTTGCCACTAACTAGTTTTGTGAAGTCGTTCACAAACTGGTCCGCTTCTTGCCAATCCCGGAGCTGTCCTCCACCTCGGTTGAGATATTCATCCAGTCGATATCCAAATTTCCCCCACGACTGCCAAATGACCGCACCTTCTGGGCCGACAGCAATAACGAACACGTGTGCAAAACTGAAATGCAGTTGGGCTTTGCCCTGCTCCACAAGCTCAAAGATATGCACGTCTGTCAGGTTTACAGCCATGACTGTCGTACGTTTTCCGTCTCCGAAAGCATCTTGCTTAGCTCTGCGATACGCAGTGTCGAGCGACGCAGACGGTGTTTCACGTATGTGTTCTAACGTGGGAAGACCACCAAGAGAGCGAGACTGTGTTTTTACAGCGAAAAACAGAGATTCACTGTCCCGTGGAGCTGCAAAGAGAAGGACGAGTGTTGCCGCCATCTTGCAAGAATTCCAAGGGTAAAGTGAAGACCACTGCGATAATGATTTTGAGTCAAGTCCAGATAGACTGACATCAAACTTCGACCCGATCAGCTTGTTCGACCCTCCGGCCGCAAATCCTTGGAGTTTTCCGAACACAAACGATGCCAAATCAGGCCCAAAACTGAAGAATATTTCTACCTGATGTCTCAGCATCGCTAGCGCTGAGATTCCAGAAGGGAACGTGTTCAAGATGACGACGAATTCTCTGATGTTTGAGCAATCGGAAAGCCCAACTAGCATAATCAGTTGGTTATCTTTGTCGTCTAATCATGTGACTTGGTCGAACTTACCCTCACTTCCAGTTTTCTGGCGTTCTTCTTTGTTGGTTTGGAGTTGATGTTGCCCAGTAGGACGTTTGTTTCCAAAAAAACGTTCCATAAAGTGAGCTTTCCCTTCCGCGTCCCCTTCGAAGAGGCTGTTTAATACACAGTCAGCTACCTCCTTTTCCTCTGCGCTCGAAGCTGAGTATATGTCTCTTCCGACGGTGGCCCATTCTTTCGCCAACGAAGGGGTGGAGCTCATGTTGGATCAATCAAACGTTGGTATGCAAAAGAAGATACAGTATAATACGACGCAAAACACTCGAGCTTGCGAAGGTCAGTGGTGAGATTATGATCAGTATTCACTGCGCAGCTGATTACCCCGCTCTCTTCGTGCACCATGACGTCAGATCTCCGGTGATAGGGCCTGTACTCTTGCTTCCTTTTGTTACCCCGCGATCTTGTGTAACATGAGAAGCTTATGCGGTTCACGGGATCCTACGTTCGCGCGTTATAGTAGCGCATAAGGTGCTTCATAGGCACTATACTACAATGACCTAAATAGATGCAACTTCTTTAAACAAGTTGTATTATTCTTGGAACCACTACCGCTTCCAGCTCCCGAATCTCTCGTTGTCACGAGATGGTCCGCTCTGGACCAGAAAGTTCGGATGTACAAGCGGAAGAGTCATACCTAAAAGCAGGTACGAGGGCGAAAACGCTGCCCCACCTTGCAACATCTGAGTTGTTTAATGAGCGCATAGATTTATCTTCCACCGTACCTTTGATACACTCTCATGCAGTTGCAGCTTCCGGTTACTGTAAGCAGGCGACCTTTGATCCCACGCTAAGCCTCTCTCGCTTGGTAGTCATCTTGCCCAAATGGTATTAGTTCCTGTCAACGATGTCATTAGTTGATTTTCTTTCTGGCAATTAGACGAATTATTGCATGGTATTTACGTGGTTTGACTTTTCCTAGACAAGCAAATATGTATCGGGCGGGCCTATGTCCCGCGTGGGATGACAACTGAGCCATGTGCGCAAAGCGGAAGCTGCAAGTGCATGAGAGTGTATGACAATGAATATAAGCAGCCACTCTAGTTACTACGGAACAGCTAAATGAGTGCTTGCCTCGCAATGTCCAGTTCCTCCAGAATGACTTAAGCTTTAATCAAAGACCTCCCGTAGCATGTCCTGAGGTTGCCGACGAAAATGACTGATCCGTACGTGGGGAAATTTGTTGCAGGAACTAGCTGCTTCAGTAGCAGTCCAGTATCGACGGACTTCGTCTGGCTTGTCTGCCCATTCTGGTCGCTGTTTGCTGGAATGACTAGGGGTATCTTAAGTACGTCAGGCGCTGATAGTAGATTCGATATTAAATAAAAAAGCGAAATTGGCCACTCACTTATAGGTATTCGCCTTGAATGTTTGCGATTTTTGAAGGTTAGGAAGATGGAAGCTATATCGAATGGTGGGAATTGACTGAAGCAGTTGCGCCCCACTTGGAGCGCAAGCTGAATCTCCCGGTCAGTCGTTCTTTGCTCCGCTGACCAGTTTTGGCGCAATTCCAGTACCCGATAAGCCCATTTCTCACTACCTTTAGCGTCGTCAAACTCAGGATACAGTTGAAAGAGTCCAGCCTCTACGACGTGCTCCAAAGAGACTACACACGATCGATTTGTATGGTTTACTACTCCTTGGGAAAGATACTCGCCATTATAAAACCTTTCATCCTCGAGGCGGAACTTGAAAAATTGTTGGGCCGGATCCTCTTGTCTGGTAGTTGATTTACACGCTTTGAATAGCCAGGTGTCTCGCGCAAATTGTCCCTGTGGAAATTTTGTGGTGTCGACTGCGCATATTTTGATGTCAGACGGACGGCACCGACGGCGTCGGAGCCTCCAAACTGCGTACTGGATAGCGAAGAGTAGGGAGCTTGTCCATGACATAAGGTTATCAGATACCTCCCCGCTAAAACAATCTTTAGTCAGATGCATATGTAGCAACTCTGCTGCGTTATGCTTCTCTAGTGCTAGAAGATCTATTCGGGTGCTTGCCTGTGGTCCAACAATGCTCGCTATAGAAGCTATTACGCTCTCGTCATTCTTTCCTGAGCTGTTTCCATCGAACGTCCGAAACAGGTACTGAGGGACATCATCAAACTTCAAAGACTGGGTATGAAAAGTTGCCGGTGGATAGAATAGTGTTGGCCCGGCAGGTGAATTGTTCAACACCCTGATCCAAAAATCGATCCAATTCTGCCTGTCCTTCCTACAGGCTTGATCTTTGCGCTCCGTTCGTTCTTGAAAGATGGTGGCGTAATCTTCGTCTACGTCGAGGCGGTTCTCATGCTCATAGTATTCTTCGCTCTCAAAATCGGGGTCATACGGCCATTGCAGACAAGCTTCTTCAAGTGGAATAAAGTAGTCATCGGCGTGGAGAATTCCAGAAGGGCTGGCGGCTTGCCTGTAGCACTCCTCGGCAACCTTCCACAACATGTTCTGATCGCTGGTGTTACTAAGGACCTCACGGATGATGTTCCTAATCTTTTTGTCGAAATGCGAAAAGAGTTCTTGGATTGGAGTCGGCCTCTCGAATAAGATAGCTGCTCTCTGGCTTCCGAGTGATTTGAGATGTATAACAACAGAGCTTTCCGTCGCTTCATTAAGCGTTTCGATAGTGGTTGTTAGATTTATAGTGATGTTTGTAAGCTTTTTGATTCCATCAAGGAGCGAGCATACCTCTGTAATAGGCAGGTTACCAGAGGAATTTGCAGCGTCAGCTACGGATTTGATGTATCGCGCTTGCGAGATAATGATGTTGGTGGGTTGGACAAGCATTTGGATGGCATCCTGAAGGGAGGCTAGATGATTGCGTGTTGAGCGGAGGGTTTCCTGTCCATGATCCTGAGGTGCGTCCCCAACAATGCTTAAATCACGGACAATTTTCGCTATATTCTCGATTTCGGCCTCCATCGCGGCCTTTGGGTCCAGAGTTGAAAATGTGCGAAAGCTCTCTCTATGATGCAGGTAAGGTTCGAGCGGGGTTCATGTCTGCACGTGAAGTAGCCAAGTTATGTCATTGGCTTTCTGGCTGCGAGCCGGACAAGCCACTACCTCAACAAGAAAAAGCAACGGCTATAATTACACCACAGGTCAATGAAGATGGTGTTAACTAGATAGCATAGACAGTACATTAAGCACTTTTTTACTGCACCTCCGCGTGCGACACTATTCTAACCCAAAATACAAATACAGAGTTCTATCGGGCGTATTTGTAGCTTCTCTAATATACTAAAATATATAGAGCAAACCAATGTTTCCCCTCTTTCACCTTCGCTACCCTTTTGCGGCATTATACTGCTGTGTCATGATTACAGAATGCTTACGCTTTTGATTGCGCTCACGGACAGTAAGCAAGCACCGAGGATGTAGCTTGAAACGCTGCGCCGCAATCCTTCCAACCATGCCATAGTCATGTGACATGCACAGTCATCAGTATGCCTTGGCACTACTGAAAACATAGGAGAAAGGAAGCGTCGCGCGTACGCGTATGGGTGTGCACGTGCGTGTAAGACGAAGCAAAGAGGTTAGATTAAGAAAGGTGCCAAGGCAGACCAATCAGCAAGGCTAAGAGGAGAACGGGAGAGATAGGAGAGGGCAACATGAAGGGGAGGGGCTTTTAGCGAGGGCAACAGTTACTCTTCTTCAAAACTCCCTCTGTGGCTACCTATACCAAGGCAATAGTATTTTAACCTAAAAAATAGGTTGAGATTAGAGAGATATAAGGGGGTGCATTGAAAACTTCATCAAGCACCCCCGACTGACGCCCCTGCATGGCCGTCTAGAGCTTATCTACTAGTATCCTTTCCCGTTATAGCAATTTCCTGAGAACTGCTCGCGCCTAGCGTAACCCTAACTTAGGGTTAACTTGGGGTAAAGCCCTAAGCGTAGCCCTAAGCGCAACCTGGCAGCGCAACCCTAAGTTAGCACGGGCCATGCCTACGAACACCAACTCTCTACGCTATTTTATCTAATAACTCACGCTGCATAGATCGTATGATGATAAAACGTAGTGCATTGAACGTGCGCGAGTCTCCTGCATCTAAGGTAGAAGTCGCATTTGTTTTGAATATCGTTCGGACGGTATTTGCTACGGCGAAGTGGTGGGTAGGCAGGGGGGTAAAACGCGCTATCCGACCATAGTTCCGTTGCGACCATAATTCCGTCTGGCATAACGCGTAGGGATTGAGGATAGAGTTTTTGCTGACTGGCCAAACTCCCTGAGCGAGGTAAGCTGTCCGAGCCATCTCGCCAGGCCTCCATCTCTTAAATACTAAAGCGCATCAAGAATTTGATGTGCCGTATCCAAAATGCCTTCATCGTGCAGTTGTTGGTTCGAGGCTAAGAATTATTAGCCACATTTTGAAGATGCCAGAGCTCTGAACGCATCATATCTTCCTTCGCTAAAGCAGATTCGATCGCTCCCAGCAACCTCGTGGAATAATCTAAGAGATCAAAATCACTAGTCCTGGGTGCTAGGTCTTGGATTTTGTTCAAAGCTGCACACAGCGTTGGATCCCAGGACTCTTCTGCTATTACCTTACTTCGCTCGATAACACAGAACCTGAAACATCGTACCGCTTCTGAAGGTAAGTTATGGTATTCGTTTATGGATCCGAGGAGGTAATACGTCAAAGAGATATCAACGTTCCATTGACGCTGCTGGGACTGTGCTGACGGCTCTTGACAATGCAACATAGAAGCCATTAAATGGTTGCAAACAGCTTTCGCCTCGTCAAGCTCTTTTTCCTGGATGAGATATCGAATAGCCGTATGCCAAAGACATATTCTCGGATGTTCGAAAGGCTCAAATTTCTGGTCGACTTGTTGGAGAATATCTCTGATTTCTCTACCACTTTTCCGGTCGTATAGGCTATAGAACCCTCCAGACGTGGTACGAGGCAAGCTAGCTTGATTATAGCCATAGTAAGCCTTGATCTTGTCGTCTCCCGCAGCCTTTTTCATCCACAGTTGGCGACAGCAAGCATCAAAAGCGACGTACAAATCTCCAGCTGCGTCCATAGACAGTTGACTGATTTCCTGGAACACCTTTTTTCTTGGGTCGTTACGTTGCAGAATGATCTCAGCCAAGCCATGCAGCTGTTCCATCAACACCCGTACAAGATCAGATCTGTCGGCTCTATGCAGGATCAACACAATCGCCAATAGATCTGGCAGCTGTCTGTGGTGATAGGTCTGTACGACAGCTTTGAGTAGTTCGAAAGCAGCCCGGATTTTGATCCATCCAGCTGATGAATGCCCCCTTCTCATATATTCTAACGCTGCACATATCATATTATGCAGTCTGCTGAGATTTGACAAGCCTGACTTGAGCACATCGCTTCGACAATAGACGCCTCGTTCATCCGTTGTCCATATGCCTCTATCGAAACAAGTGTCAAAATGGACGCTCGTAAACCACAGTAATCGCCGAAATGACTTGAAGTAGCCTAGATCAGATATTTGGCTGAATTTGAATGAAAGTGGAACAAATATCAGATCTTGCGACGGAGAGCAAAGTCCGGGCGAGCTTTCTAGCGATTTCCTTCGTTTGCGGTATCGTTCCACTTCGAGCATATCGAGGAGTATTCCATTCGAAAGAACCATGCATTGATCAGACCCGTATCCCATCTCTTTCATGATGGTTAGTGCCAAACCAGAGCCTGCACTACTGTTGTTCTTGTGGATTCTCATTGCTCGTAAGTGTGATTTCCATTGTGCAATCCTAACGCACAGGTGTTAATAGTAAATTATTGAGATGGACTGATACTCACGTCATGTTCACATTTGGTTCTTGTTTTTCAACTAACCCCTTCACTTCGTTTAATGTGTGTCCATCGAGCACGTACAGTTGGACAACATCATGATACAATTTGCTTATAATATCAAAATTGGAAGCGGAACTCATATTTATATTACGATTTTCGCAACAATAATCAGTCCTTAAACGGATTATACGAAGACAGAAAACGAGGCAGACACCTACCGCGACTTTATCAACTCTCCATAGCGCCAGGATTTCTCGCTCAATGTGTATCATCTACTAATATCTAACGTCCCTTCCTATATGGCGGAAAACCCGGTGAGCCGGAATCAGCCAATTAAACACAGCATCGTGCCGGGATATCTGCTGACCCTGCGCTTTCATTAGTTCAGTCCGGCCCACCAGGATTTCCGCTATACAGAGAGGGATGTCAGGCCTGCATATAGGATGGTTACACAAGCCAATGGTATTTGAACACATGTACGGCACCCAATCGCATTTGGTCCTAGAACACCAAACTGTTGTATGTAAACGGCTGCGATGTTCCTTCCTCAGCACGGACGAAAACTTTTGTTCGCTTAGAACCCTGCTATGGACTTGACAACTGTGATTGGACTATCTTATGATGCATCAGATTCAAGCATGGCTGGTTGTTCTTCAATGCTGAAGTATTTTAGAACGACCGTTTGCCTCATATTCTCAGCATTCGTTTCATCCTCTCCACTTCTGCCTTCCTAGCTAACGGGTTGGGACTTGATTACATATAGTTACCTCTCCACTGATTGAATTAGTATTTTGTGCTATAGACCTGCCAAGATGGAGACGAATACAAACTTACCGCCAAGGCCCGGTCCTTTTGGCTGGAAGAGATATGCAGATAAGGTCTGCAATGCTCTCACCGACAGAACGGCCAAGTTTCTTGAAAAATAGTAAGTTTACGAACATACTGCATGGATTTTGAAAATTCAGCTCATGTTTAGCCTCGGGGTTGACCTGATCATTGTGACCGGCCCTGCTGGGACTGGCAAATCCTCTTTCATAAAATCTGTTACCGGGAATGAAATATATACCGCTTCAACCCTTGAGTCAGGTGGGGCTCCTTATGCATCCCATGGTACAAAGACTTGATATTCGCGCTAACCAATGCAGGTACTCGACAAACCGCCCTTGTTCCAACACTGATCGGAGGGAAAAAATACCTTTTTCTTGATATGCCTGGATTTGATGCTATTGATCTCGACGACTGGCAGATATTCATCATGCTGACAACGTCCATGGCCACGATTGAGCGATATGTCAACTTTCGAGGACTTATCTATGTTGACTCATTTGACAATGTTCGTGCCACCAAATCGGCGGAAAAGATATTGAAATGGGTTCACCAGTTTTGTGGCTCCAGCTACATGGCTAACGTGACCATTGTGACTACGAAATGGGATGTGCAGGCAGATGATGCAGTGAGTGAAAAATTGGAGCGCTATGCGACATGGAGACAGAGTGCTTTACTTCAACCGCTGGTATCGAACGGGGCTACAACTTTCCACCATGGTCTTGTTTGGAATGCCGATGATTGGAGAAAACTTTCACTTCGAAATCAGCAGGAAGAAAGAAACATGTACGCCAGAGCTATGATTCGGGATCGGTATGGGACATTCTCCAATTTTACACTAAAATTCTACCGTGAGATCGCTCAGGGATCTACGGTCGAAGGTACATCAGCTGGAAAATGTCTTCGACCAGGGCCCTCAAGCCAACCTCGACAAGCCCATCAGCCAAACTCCTCAACTGAAAATAGTACACGGTTTGACTGGGCGAAAGAGACAAAATCGTGGATTTCGCTTCTTCTTAAGGCAGCTAGAGTATATCGAGAAATTTCTGGAACCAACAATACCGGCATGTGGGATTTTGAATCAGAACCTGATATTAACTGGGAAGATGGTTTTTTGTTCGAGGAAGATGAAGTCCACGACATCAACCTAGGTGACGAACACGAAGAGTTAGATACTAGCTCTCGTTGTACAATTTTGTAGGATTGGGGTTTGTCTGTAGTCACATCTCCTACACGTTATGCCAACGGAATTATGGTCTCGTTAGGAATTATGGTCAGATAGCGCGGTTTACCCTTGCAAATTCATCTTGCTACTTCTTATAACCTTTCCTGATCTAGCAATTATCTAGCCCCTTTACTCTGCCTTACATGCACGTGCGCACCTATACGCGTACGCGTAATACGTTCGCTCTTCTATATTCTTAGTAGTGCCAAGGTATACTGATTACTGTGCATGTTACGTGACTGTGGCATGGTTGGAAGGATTGCGGCGCAGCGTTTCAAGCTACATCCTCGGTGCTTGCTTACTGTCCGTGAGCGCAATCAAAAGCGTAAGCATTCTGTAATCATGACACAGCAGCACAATGCCGCAAAAGGGTAGCGAAGGTGAAAGAGAGGAAACATCGACTGGCTATGTACATAGCACCGTTTGCAACAAACGTATTGAATTAAAATTTATCTCATTAACTATGCATATCTATTAACTTATGAATCCGACTGATATAGTCCTAGCACTATTCTCAATAACAGCAAATGCATTACAATCTAGTGAATAACGCATCACTCAATAGAGGTGAAGTGGCGCTGCTATGCGATGTGGCACGCACACAAGAATGCCAAAGTGGGAGGTTCGAATTTTTACTATGTATGTTTGATCGCTTTGCTATGTATCTGGTCTAACGTTATACGGGGTAAAAAGCAGTCATTTGTTTAGTTGCATGGGACTGGCAAACGTAGTTTTATGCTGACACCGCGAGCCCATAAGCATAAGCAAAACCACAACAATTGAGCTATGCCTGTACTTCTCAGCTCGCAGCAGCCGAAGAATTACTAAGCTAGACCAGTCAAAGCAGCCTAATTCACTTACTAGAGCTGCTTCCATCCGCAGTTTTCTCTTTTTCGCCCAGAACACGACTTTAATCCCACGCCGTTATCACGCTTGTTCTAGACAAGGCTGGTGTCATCACGGTAGGCTACTAGTGATTATTATGCGGCTGGTGAGATGATAGAACTATAAAGAGCTAAATGCGACAAAATATAGCGTAGGATGAGAACCGAAATGAATGCAAGAGCGGGAATTGCTAATACATATACATTCAATAGCAGCCGCTATAGTTTGCTTCACGTCTCGCCAATTATCTTAGAGCTACATTGCTAGTTAAATCTACTTAGCCTTTACTCTATTTCTGAACTACTTGATTTGCTTGCTTGCATCATGCTGGAATGTGCTCATTCTTCTAGGCTCGCTCCACCCAAACTTTCGTCGCACCTGTGCCTCTACATTCGCTCCCTTGCTAGGAAAAATCTAGTACACAGATAACAACATGGCTCTCACATTTTCCGTCGACGAGAAACTTAGGGTACCACGCGAAATCTGGCTTCTAGTGCTCGATTATCTGGAGCCGCACGACCTTCGCGAATGCCGATTAGTAAGCCGGGATTTGGATCCTATTGCTGCGTCTTTGTTTTTCAAGACTTTTGTGTTCCAATTTAGCAGACATAGCGTTGAGAACCTCACTCAAATAGCTTCCAATGAAAGACTAGCTGGGTATGTGCGAACCCTCATGCTTTGGAGAGGCCCGAAGCGCCACGATGCCGTCTCAAGTTTACCCAGCCCACTACTAGGTGTCCACAAGCAAGGCTGACCACGACAGGACTAGATCGCGATTGTAAGAGCTTTGAAGGATCCGTCGGCTAAGCGCACGATACGAACAGTGCAGCAGTGGCGCGACTGCTTATCAATAAGCAGTTTACGCTTCCCAAGTGGCCATATGCGCAAAATCAAGTGACAGTGTTTTCCGTATATGTACGCTATAGCGCAGACGAGGCTAGGCTACATAATGCATATACTGGAAATAGCTGTACGAACAAGCATCAAAGGACTAGGGCCCTCCCATGGCCCGCGCATGTGCCAAGTCTGCAATGGTTGTTCCCCGCTGGCGGATTGCATCCTGGAGTTGACGTATCGCAGTCATCTAAACAAGAGCCAATGCAACGGATAGTACCGCTTCAGCAATGATATCCATTTGGATTCTTTTTACACTGCAGTAGTCAGCCAGGATACATGATAAGGGTTGCACAAGGATTGGTCCAATAGTCCGCTCGCCAACAAAGCTTCATGCATCATAGCTCGTAGCCAAACTAACTTCAAGTCACCAGACTCTAACGTTACACTCGATTAAGCCGATCGCTGTGTGGTGTTCTGATATGCACGAAGGATCTCATAGCGTACGTCACCATGGCTGAAGGCATGCATCCGCTGAGAGGCTTACCTCGCTCGTCGCAGAACAAGGAAGCGGCTATCAAGACACTCAGTGGATAAAGCACAGCAAGCTATGTAGTTACGTACTCCATGTTGCCTATCTTCCACCTATGTAGCAAGACGACGTTTTCCCTCTTGCACCTTCGCCACCCTTTTGCAGCGTCGTGCTGCTGTGTCACGACTACAGAATGCTTACGCTTTTGATTGCGCATACAGGCGGTAAGCAAGCACGAAGGATGTAGCTACGCCGCAATCCTTCTAACCATGTCGCAGTCATAGTTAGTTCCGTTTGGCATAGTACGCCTATGGTGAGAAGCTAGGAGTCCATCATGAGTTGTAGCACAGCATCTGTGAAAGCTATTGATCTGTTAAGACTAAACTACGCACAGGTGACTGGCGGCTCGTAATGGCGCATTTTAAAGAAGTATGTCTCACTAGTTACATAATTACACGTGAATTGCCTTGTTGATTAGTTAACTAGAGCTTAAACACTTTACACCATGTTCCAATGTCATGTTCCATTAATATCCTGGCAGTCCGGTCAAAGCCGGCATTCTCTTTCACAATCCTATCTGTCGACTTTGTCTACAGTAACTAACTATTTACCCTTCTAAGTACCGTCGCACCATATCATGTCCTCTTTTCTGCCTTGCACTGCCCATATCGTACTGCCCGCAAGGTGGACGTCCTCATTACCAAGCACACTAGCACCCGCTCAGCATAGGCCTGTGGTACACCCAGCCTTTGGCTTTCCTTCTCAAAACATAACTGTTCGAGATCGTCTCGGTGCGGAGGCGGGACGGGTGTCTAGGTCGTCGATAACTGCTACTATGCATCATTAGCGGGTATCCTGGAGAGATACAGCAATACGCGTACCTAGTTGCGTATGATCATTCTATACATATTATCTATATGTTCTGCTTACACGTGTGGATGGTTCAATCTTGTCGCTTGTCTGTTCCGCGCTCATCATTCAACAATGCGCCTGAGCCTTCGACCAGATGCATCCAACTCGAAAAAGCGCCTCTCCTGGGCTCGACCCATGCGGGCTCGTGAGCGAAGAAGCATAGTGTGAAAGGGCTGCTTTGGGGTTTGCGAAACTTGCTGGTGACGAGGTCTGCGACGTGCGGCGGCGGGTTTGTTAGGTGATGCGGAAGCTGGATCCTTGCGCAGGGGTGACGTGTCGGGTGGAGTTGGAAAGGATTGCAGTTGGCGATGCGATGTCTTCAGCGATGGCGAGGGTGAAGGAGTTGGTGTGAGTTGCGGAGATTGTCGACCCCAGCTCGGTTCAGGGGTTTCGTTGCATGGCACTCGTTTGAAAGGCGCTTCCGTGTTGTCAGTCGCTTCCCGCTGATTCTGCAGCCTCAATAGTGCAGCGTGGAGAGGTCCAGTAATGTACTGTTCTTCATAGATTCTCAGTACGTGGTCTGGTATAGTCGGTGAGCGCGGCGGCGATGCCATGTCATGTTTTGATGATATCATGCGTAAATGTCCGATGGAGGACGCGGTGCCCAGATGGTCGTGAAGTCCATCCTTGGCAGCGCTAGTCTCAATGGGAAACCTGCGCCCGCATCATCCCACCTTGTATCTTCAACCTATCCTGCACCCTACAACGCGACCACTTGTCTAATATCTCAACTTCATGGACCCATATGGCGATGAAACTGATGGCGACACCGAGCCAGATGTGCAATCATGGGACAATGTACATCTCGGAGCGTCCAATGGCGACTTTGCACGATTGGTGCCACACTCTCCAGCGGCTCGCACGCTTTTCAGTCAGGTTGTCCGGCTTCTTGACAGTGATGCCAGTAAGTGGAATCATGTGCGCAGCTTCATTCACTACGAAGCTGCGTATCCTGACGACAGCACTACCGGGAGTAGTTTTACCACTGCAACTCCACCTCCTCAGCATGAATCCGTCCAGGAATACTGTGGGTACTACCGACTGAACATGACCATTCCTCCTGCAAATGAAAGTTTGGGCTGGGTCTTGGGAAGTTCCCGAACAAACATGCCAGGCAACTTTGTAGACTTCCTTCTTGCTCCGTTCACCAATAAATATGCTCTTCATTCGCGCCACTGCAGGCTGCGACGCCTGCTCGAAACTGGTGTATTACTGGCTATATCTGATAGTAGAGAGGTAACTTGTCGCTGATATATCAGTGTACCATCGACTTATTCCTATTGCAGGTCAGTGTCGACGGCAAAATCGTCCAACGCGACATGAAAAGGGAGGAGCAGGATGAACAAGATTATCAGGCTTCTCTACAGCATGGTACCAGCATCGGACTTGGCGACCTGACTTATCGTCTCGTATACACAGATTTAAACCCGAAGCAACAACAACGCGAACTCCAAGAAGCCCTCAAGCGAGCTAGCACTGGGCTTGATAAGTCCGTCATGCTTCTGTCACCAACACCATCCAGGCACACTATTGACTACCATGGCTACAGCATCTTCGATGCCAATCTTCACGGAACAACTAGCACTGTGTCATTGGGATATGACAAGTCAAATGGGAAGCCGGTCGCCGTCAAAATGGTCAAATGTACTGCTGCGCAGTTCAATGACCTTCGAAAAGAGATTGAAATCTTAGGCCGCCTCAACCACGTAAGTTGCGGTGGGTAACAAAAGAACCTGACTGAGGCTTTGTTTAGGGGAACGTTTGCAAACTTGAAAAGGTCGTCAATTGGGACTCATCCGCCGATCCACGTACGTGGCGTCAGGATGAAGGTCCAACGGTGGGCCTCATCATGTCGCCGCCAGCAACCACTGGAGCGCTGGACTTGCTCACATCCTGGAAGTCTCTTCCTGATTCTGCTACTTTTCTTCGTGACTCGATCCGCCAGGTAGCGTCCGGCCTCGCTCATGTTCACAGCCTTAACATACTACACCGAGACATCAAGCCCAACAATATTGTTTATCACTCTACCAGCCCGGTACATGCCATAATCGTCGACTTTGGATGTAGCGAGCCGGATCCGACAAGCATGCGTCATGACCGAGGAACAATGACTTATCTTGCTCCGGAGGTCATGAGAGTGAAAAATGGAGAATCAACTCAACCATTCTCTTTCCCATCAGATGTTTGGAGCCTGGGTGTTACTCTTGTCGACTTCCTGTTAAACAAGCAGTTTCACAAACAATTGGGAGAGGCCGCAACCTATGAGAAGTTCCAGAAGACTATGGCAATGAATACTGTTGAGCTGCACTATCCGGATTTCTGGAATCTGGTCCTAGAACTTTTAGCATGGGATTCTGAAGTTCGACCAACGGCAATGGAAGTGGCTCAACGCCTCACGGATCAAGAAGAAACTCGGCCCGAGAAAGTCTCGCGACGCGCATCGACGAACGAAGATCCATCGGCCAAACGCGAGAAACTCCAGATCTAGCCACTAGGATCACACAAAGAAGCAGACAAGATTTTTCCTCGCACTGAGGACAGATTGGGTGAATCAGGCTTGTGGGTATTGCTATCACAAATCGTCTTTCCACGGCAATGTTAAGGATCCTCAGCCTCTATAAACCGTGTCCAATCACCATCCTGACAGAAGACGAAAGGTCTGACTTCCACAGCAACGCACAAGAATACTAATCAGCACCACGCAGAAGACAACATAGATGAAAGAAACAAATATTGACCTGTCAAAGGACATCTCGTATCCGTCACCCGCATCGTTGGAATCAATAAGATAGGCCTCACCACGCCAACACTCATAAGTGCCTTCGTCGCTGTTGTTGGAGATCGCTATGCATGCCCTGGGTGGCTCAATCACGAAGGTTTCTGGGCAGGTGCATCACAGTGTTGAGGGCGACCTTGGTCGTCTTGCTGACCGAGGCTCTCTCTATAGAGCGCATACGACGCATGAAGGCTTTGGCGGTATTCAGATGACCAGGAAACTACGAGAGATCTCGTCGAACAATGTGGAGAAAGCTTGAGGATGGAGTACGGCTACGGGGAAGACATTCATCCTCTCTCCAGTTGGAAGCGCTCTCGCATGGAAGACAACGTTGATGTAGCTCTTGGTAATACTAGGATCGTCGTAGTAGAAACAGTTGTCTATAGTGAAAGTCTTCCATAACTGCTGAAAAAGATAAAGGGCAGCTTTGCGGACATGGAGCACGGTACGTAGAGAAAACATGGGCGTAGGGTAAGCGCAATAACCACATGCTATCCCGCAAGGTATCTAAACGAGATAATGGAGGGGGGATGTTTCTAAGTACCCCTAGCTGGCGCCTCTGTGTCGTCTTTCTCTACTAAGAGATGCGATCTTGGTTTCTGTAAAATAATTGCAAAGTTAGAATTAACAGGGTTAGACCCTAAGCGCTGCTCTCACTAAGCACAGGCCACACCCACAAACACCAACTCCCTACCAGACTTTATCTTGCGCTACATCTATCGTAATACTATAAAAGGTAGTGCACTAGTTGCGCGCGAATGATTTATATTATTCACTTAAGTTGCAGCCGTCTTCCATAATTGAGGATTGAGGAGAAAGGTTTGTTCCAAATCTTAGGGAACAAGCCCCCTACGAACCAAGAGCGCGAGCCACAAAAATGGAACAAATGTTTGTTCTCCATGGAATAACTGTCAGAACTGATTGTCATTTCATTGGTTAAACTCCTATAACTCTTTTCCACTACGAATCGCCAGACAATCGCACGACATACTTTAGTTATACTGTCTCGCCCTAACCTGGACTGAGACTAGGCAAGTATACCCCTACCCTGTGTAACCCCGTGTAACAGCGATCTTATATAATCTAGTAAGCATTTCTAGTATAAAGGCACACTAGACCTATACTAACTAAACTAATAGCTTCTAGAGACCTAGAGACCAAACAGCGAGCTCGAATGCCAGAGCGATAAAGAGTCTAAGGAATTCTGTCAAAAAGTATAAAAACTCTTAAAACATCTAAGAGAAGCGAGTAAGCTCTATCCTCTTCTTATTCCTACCCTGATTCGAAACCGGTTTCTAGCTGAAAGGAGGAGGTTAGAAACGTCGCCGGCGTCTGAACTCTCCATGAAGCATACATTGCAGCAATAGGTCAAATTTCAGAGAGGAAAGCATCTCAAACGTAGACGATAAGAGGCTTGTCTTTATGATAGCGCTGCCATAGTTACACTACATAGTTTCAAGTCGTGTACGCGCCCAAAACGCGTTCTACAGGGGGGATGTTCTAGCGCCTTACTGTTCCTGCGGATCACAAAGACGCGTCCTATGGAGGATCAATCGCGCTATGCCGTTGGCAGAAGAATCAGGGCTGTTCCGCGTCGGCATCTTATGTTAGGATAGAGTACTCACGTGATTAGGGTTGAGAATTTCTAGGGTTAAATTACTCACATCTAGCACATACTGCTCCCTCAATTGTATGCTCCTATCCTCATCCTGTCGAGTGTAGAGCACAATTCCAACGCAGCCTACGTTGCCTTTAAGCAGCTTGGCGAGAATAGACATGACGACGTCATTGATATAGTCGCATAGTTCGGAGCTGCGTGATCGATATACCTCTACAAATCGACTCTCTTCCCATTGAAACACGGCACAAGAGTTAAGCGCCAAATGTCATTATTGCCTAGGCGCTTAAAGTACGTCTCGCGCGCCTACGCCCTAATTCCGCTCTAGTATCCAGCCTCATCGCTGTCATCATCACTATAGAAGGCCTTTTCCCGCATTTGGAGAGCTTCATTCTCCTCCTCGATCGTGTCTGCCATGGTCTGCAACAACTTTGCATCATCAGGGTCGTGTACGTAGACGCGCTTCGTTTCCTCTAAAGCTTCCGTGGCCTTCTTAAGCCAATATCGCGTTGCTGCCAAGTTTTCTTCATGTTCGTTCTCCTCATCAGCCGTGCTTAGGACCATGCAAGCTTTCAAGCGGTAATATGGCGACAGGTTCTCAATCTTTAGGAATGTGCGCATAGTTCCGCCAACTTGGCCAGTGACGCTCCCACAGAGGGCCTGCGCAACGTCAGATGTGGTGGTAGTAGATGTCAACATGAAACTCGCCTTCTGAAAACCGGCATCGAACAGATCCGTCGCATCTTTGATTGTTGTCATTGAGTTGTTGTCCTGGTGCAGTGAATCTGGGTTCACAACCGGCAGAAGGTGGGGTCCTGTTTCAACTACCGATGCCAAGGATCTCATTGTGGTGCATCAAGTTTGTAGTCAGTACATGTAATTACAGATACAGTGTCACTATATACTTACTGCACGTGGTCTGTCACGATCATGAACCAGGTAAATTCATCTACTGTCTTCCTTTGAGCGGTGTGTTATTCTCTGTTACCATTTTCAGATTTACAGTCACGTCTCAAAAGTCTGTTCCCCCGAGCGCACGGGCCACGATCACCACTTTTTCCCACAACTTCAACCCCGTGCAGCTCCACCAAACCACGTCTAAAATTAATTTTGAAATAATCAAATTGAAGCTATTGATCTCAATATTTTGTTTGGTACCCAGATGCCTTGCGCACGGCGTTGAGGCGGCGCGGCATACTCGAAATTAGCTTAGTGATCAAAGAATCGGGTATGGCAGACCAGGCCTCTCGCAACCCATTTTCAAACTGTTCCCACTCCTCTGCAGTGTCGTCTATATAGTCAAATTCGGGGTAAAGCTCATAGAGTTTCTTTTTAAGTGCCCACTAGAGGTGTTCGATGGGGTTGAGATCCGGAGAATAGGGGGGCCAGTCGATCGTCTTGACGCGGTGATCTTTCAACCATCTCTTGGAGATACGAGCAGTATGAATAGGTGCATTATCCGCCATAAATAGCTGGCCGCGTCTGTAGTGAGGCAGGAGTCCTTCCTTAAGTGCCTCCAAGTAACTCCATGCGGTATATCCGGCTCGTCGTCGTGTCTCATCTCGTTGCATGATCACGAGAGGACTCCTGCCTAGGACACCACCACGACCGATCCAGATAGAAGCCCACACCATGCAAGCGGGCTGCCGACCAGTAGGGACAGCCTCTATCATCTTGTGAGACCATTTCTGCGACGGTAATCTCCATACCCAGGTGGTATTGTGGCCAGAACCGCGGGCGATACTACACTCGTCTGAAAACTTTAAAATAGTATCACCGTCCCACATAAAATAACGCCAACGCCGAGCGAAAAGTAGGCGTTTTCTAGCTATAATCTAGGTAACAAGTGGCCTGCGCTTCGCTCTAAACTTGTGGTAATCCATTCGAGCAAGTACTCGTTGAATGGTAGCACGAGAGACGGTGGAGCGGCCGGAGGCAGAGTCCCATAGGTTTGCCTCGCGATATAGAGCGCTATACTCGATCTTAGGATCTTTTTTTATAACTCGGAGTAGCTGTCGATGGTCCCTATAGATCAATTTAGGTGGGCGGCCTATCCGATCGTGCTTGGTGTAGATTCCTTCGGTGTCCCATTGATGGATAATCTTGTTTACTGCGCGGCGCGTGCAGTTCAGACGCGTCGCGATTTCTGACGTGCTGCATCCACCCTCCGCTTGGGCCAAAATATATATCCTTTGGGCATCTGATAATTCACCACCTGGCATTCGATTACGCGAAATTTCTGTGCAAAAAGATCTCATTTAGGTGGAGTTACATGGTGTTGAAGAAGAGACTAGTCTGAGGATATTGGGATGGTGGGGTAGGCCCGTGCTCGGGGGAACAGACTTTTGAGCTAGTACTGTATGTTATGCTTCTAATTAACTAGTGACCTGCTGGCTGTCTAATCAAAAGCGAGGAAACTTCATAACTGCTTACAACAGTGTTGTGGATAATGATCCATAGATGGCATGGTCCGATAAGATTGGTAGTTAGCGTACTTGCCTAGCTTAGAACATGCATGGCACAGCTGAACACATATCGACACCGAATCAAAGCATCAGCGACAGACCAATGCGAATGCGGACAGGTAGTAGAGACGGTGGAGCACTTTTTGTTCCGCTGCCGAAAGTGGACGACACAGCGAATAGAAATGCTGCAGTGTACGCAGATAAGCAGAGGAAATATGTCAATCTACCTAGGTGGCAAAGCAGCGACAGACGACGCGAAATGGGCGCCAGACATGGACGCAGTGCGAGCGACGACACAATTTGCTATAGCAGCACGAAGACTCAATGCAAACTAATATCTAGCTACTAGGTAAACCTAGTTAGCTACTAGCGTAAACTTATCAGCAGCCTCGTGGAACAGGCAGTAGACAGCGCTTCAGCCGCCGAAGACAGGACGTTGAACTCTTGGAGAATCTATCGGAGAAGCCGACTTTAAGCCAGTTTGCCACCAGCAATACTAATCCACGAGCATTTGATAAAGAATAATAGTAGAGAAGAAGCGTGCCAAGGCATTGAGTAGTTAAGTGTTAGATTGTTACGAGTATGAAGGTACAGCACCAGACATGCCAAAGCAGATCACAAGCAAACAGTCATGTATTTTCCAAGACGAATCACTATAGGGCTACTCTAGTGTTGCTGGGTACTTATAGAGCTATCTAGCGCCTAGCTTACTAAGATAGCTAGGGCTGAGCTATTCTGGGCTGGATTGGTCCAAACTGGACTATGTCCTGACAGTAAGGGCTCTGACTTAGATGATAAGCTATATAAAGAAGTGGGCTAAGGAAGACATATGGGCTAAGGAGACCAAGACGTACATATCATAGAAAGTGTAAAATTAGACTAGCGTTAATAGCCCTTTCGGCTCGGCCGCTGGGCGTAAATAGATTATGTGTGTGTGTGTGTGTGTGTGTACAGAACTAGTTACCACAAATTGATTCATACATATGCTTTAGTGGCAGAAGTGCCAACTCACTAGCTATTCGGCGAAAGATCTTTCTTGAGACTGGCCTAATTACGTTTGTAACTTCCTACCACAAAGGTTACAGCATTACAGGATCTGCTAGAATCATTCATCCCTATCTACCGCCTGAGGTTAGCGAGCTCCTTATCTATACTACCTTTGGCTTATGGCGCCCTTCATTAAGCAACTAGAACGCCTTACACCAGGTTTCGTACCTACAAGCATGGCCTCCTCCCTTCTGGTAGGTAGATGGGCAGGGGTAAAATGCGCTACCCGACCATAATTCCCTTTCGACCATAATTTCGTTTGGCATAATGTGTAGGTTTGGATTACGAACACCAACTCTCCACTATACTTTATCTAATAACTCGCGCTAGTGAGCTATGTCTAACCCACTTCTGTTAAATCGCTGCGAGAACTACAATCACTACTGGAATCACCAGTATCCATAATTAACCGCTTCCACGGCTTAGTGCCACAGGTTTCGTCGACGATGGTACGCTGAGAAATGTACGGTGTGTCCTCCGACACATGCGGGTCTATTTCGATCATCTCCAGTTTTCCAGCCTGAGAGAAAAAGAAAATACACGCTGTCTCGTAGCAAGAGTGCAGACAACAGAAATGTAAACGGAAATGACTTCCAGGCAACGTCTGGCAGATTCTTAGGTGTTCCACCCATCGTGACTCATTTTCTTTACTTTGCCAGCACATGTTCAAGAACCCTTTAGCGGTTCGAAACACAATTGGCGGAGTTGCCCGTTCGGGGTGATCTGGCGCCATAGAAAAGTCCGGACACAACGCACCCTCTTGTTCAAAATTCGCCCAAGGAGATTCCTGCCATGCAGACGCTTGCGGATTTTCCACGCCTGGGATTCCTTGGTCATGATATTTCTGACTGAACCCGTCGATACCTCTGACTAGTCTTCCCTGAGATGATAGGTAATAAAGTACTACCCTTTCATGGAAACCCTGAGTATCGCAGTACTTCGTGAACTTTCCTGATATAGGTGTGCCAATCCAGGCCTGTTGTAAAGGGAAGGACTCTCTGGTATGCAAATTGAACGGTCCTTCCCATTTGTCTTCATTCATCTCTTCATCCTCATGCATCTCAATGCTGAGTATGTCTCCATTCGAATCCTGGAAATAAACGCGCAAACCGAGGGATAAGAGTGCTGAGTTCTGATGAACTTTGATCTTGCTTTGCTGCAGATGCCCCTTGAACCATCTGCCCTGCTGAACAGAGTAGACCATGTCTCGAAGATAGTACTTCTCATCTGCAAAGAATACGTAGATCTGGATTGTTGATGAGGATAACTTCACCACCAAGTAGGTTACTTACCTTCGAGTCTTTAACTCTACCCAAACCTATCGCTAGGGGTGTTCCAGGAGCTACTTGGCTGCTCACTATGGGAGTTTCCGCAAAGGAGTTGAGAATCCCGAGAGTGACCAGTACGAGATGATTCAACGAATTTTGGAATAGCAAGAGAGTTACATTGCCCTTTGTCTCATCTAGAGTCTCAATGGCGAATTGACTTTGAGGATGTGGTGATCTTGAAAGGCTTGGGACTGCTAGTTCAGTCAAAGGACGGATGGGATGTTGTGGGAGCTGAAAGCAGTCTGTGACCCATTCCATTCCGGGAATGTCAGGAATGACGTCCAATAGCATGGTTGGCTTAGATCGCTTCATTGTGTTAATAGAATACCAGACTATATTAAAGCCACTTACGCGTATGATACGCCATGTCGTCACATCCTTTAACTCTTCGGTCCATTCTTGGAGACTAACACCAAAGGTTCAGAAAAGGTTGCAACATGACTGGGCCCAAACTCACTTGGAACGGGGATCTCTACCACCAAATTTTACCCAAAGGCCAGCTTTGGTGGCGGTTCGAGAGATGCTGAACGAATCCTGGGACAAATCTTCCTCTGAATGTGCTGAAAATTTCATGTCCAAGTCATAGAGCCATGGTCCAGACTGAAACATCGCCTCCCCAGAGGCAATTTTTCCGCCCTCTTGCCGATCGCTTTCCCCTTCACCCACACGTTCGAAGCTTCTACTAGAGTAGATGGCTCCGCCGAATGTTACGATTGGACAAATAAATAAGCCTATTTATAAGTTAAAACTGGTGAGTTTAGTTATTAAGTTGTAGCGAAACATTGAACATACCAAACTCCTCATGAAACCGCCTCCACTGGTTTAGGTCATTTGGGAAATTTCTCAGTTTCTCCAGTCTGGCCTTGCATTCTGGAGTCAAGTCAAGGGCAGCCGTACCAAGCTTGGCTATCATTTTAGGACACTATGTTCCAATCAGAATAGGTCAATGCGATAGCAGTTATATTACCTGATAAGTATAACTCCTACTCTGAGCTAATTTCTTTCTCTGATGACGTGCCTTTGACTGTGCATTTCGGACATAGTCAGCCGTGATGCCTATTTTGGCCATCTTCCAAGCATCGTACTTCCTAGATCCAGATTGTTAGCTTCGTGGTTAAGGGGATAATTAGTAGGTACATTTACAATGCTCCGGCAGCATCAGCCGCATTGATGTGACTACTATATCCAATAGCTTGGAGAAAGCTGCTCATGCCCTGCACGTGCTGCTCATCTGTTACTTCCGGAAGTTCGAAGCTTGGGTATTTTCCCTGCCGCAACTGAAACGCTGCTAAGGTTATTGTTGCAAGCTCGAGGAGTGGAATCTTATTCCGGAACACGTACCTTGAGATCGAGCTCGTTCGACATCCCCATCTGAGTCGATCACCCAGGCGTTGAGAGCTCCGGCATCCTGAAAATGCGGCCAATAATCCTTAGCCTCGAGCCGAAAACCGCATGATGAAGACATTTTGGATATGGTACATCAAATTGATGATGGAATTTAGTGTGTGAAAGATGGAAGCCTGGTGAGACGGCTCGAGCAGCTTACCCCGCTAATGGGGTTTGGCCAGCCAGAAAAGTCTTTTGTATCTGACTGGATCGCCTAACTTCTGTACGACAGTGGAACGTAAGCATGCAAAAATATAATTATGTTATTTGTGAGGCTAACTTGGGTCCCATAGTGCACGTCACCATGGCTGAAGGCATGCATCCACTGAGAGGCTTAGCCCGGCTCCGCGTTTCATATCCCATCTTCATTCTACCTCTCGCATTGTAGCAGTCCGAGCTTGCCTAGATATAGCGCTACATGCAGCCACTGCTCGTATAACCGCGAACGGTAAGCGGAGTAGGAACAGCCCACTCCAAGAGGAGAACGGGCGCCTGAGGACTGGCGTGGCGCGGAACCAGGGCCGGTCCACCAACAGGACAAGACCCTTGCCTAAACCTATCAGGGTTTCTAACAGGCGACTCGGAGGACGATCGCGCTGCACCAAGCCAATTATTAGCATGTATTCCAAGGTTCTCTTAACGTGTCGTGAGTGCTCTCACAAGAAAAGCAGGCCTGTGACAGGGGATTAGGTAAGCGCGGGAGCGGGGGGAAAGTGGGGCGTGCATGCTAAATGCCGGGCAGCCGAAGATAGCTGATGACTGGTCTTTGACCTCCCTACCACATTCAGATTACATCACGCTTTTACAATAGCGACACCCAAGATAGAAGGCGTGTAACAGTTGGCGGATATTGCAAAAGAAACCTTTGCAACCGTAGCATCACTGTTCGCCTATCAGACGCAGCACGAGTCTGCGTGCTGCCTTTCCATTACACTCCCACATCATCAACTTCCGGCTAAGAACGAAGGACTTAGAGAGTGTCATTGCGCATTGTTGAGGCGGCTGCAGACCTGGCTTTGCTCGTGCTGTTTGACTCTTTGAGAAACGGAGAAGCTCGAAGAGCATCAGCTTGGATCTTCCAAAGTGGCGTGGCAAGATCGATAAGCTGTGGTCCGAAGTCTGCCAGCATCTCGCGAACTTGATCTTCAGATGCGCGGGGACAAGTCGAGAGCGCTTCATCCGACTGGAACGTTGCATCCTCCCATTGTTTCTTCCATTTAACAACAGCTGACTGCATCTCTTCACTCTGCGTATCCACCCCCATTGCCACCATATAGAAGGAAGAAGTGATTGCATGCTTCGTTTTTGACTTGAAAAGGCGCACACTTGAGCACTTTGTGAAGATGCGGATGACCTCAGTGGTATCGAATGATTCTGGCTTATGCATGACTAGGACCAGTGACCCTTGATTGCGTAGACGCTGAAGTGCGAAGACTAACTGGCTCGTGGCTAACCGTAGCCTCTTATGCGACTCATGATGTTCGGCATCAGCATGCGCACTTCGAGTCGTTGCGCCCGTCGCGCCACAGAACACAAGGTCAAACGTCTCGTTCTGAAACGGTCTTTTTGATGAGAACTTTGCAATGTCCGGGTGTTGAGTCGGTATGGATGTTGCTGGCCGTCCCATCTCGTTTGCTAGCATCGTGATATCGGCGAATTCTATACGAACCTTCAAATCGTCCCTCCATCCTGGCAGCATAACTCGCAGACCTCCCATCCTTGATGGCAATGTGATGCCCCGTATCCTGGCGTCGCGATGTTTACGGAGCACAGTTTGGGTGAACCCACCCGGGGCCATACCGATATCCAGGACTCTTGGGGACTGATTCCCATCAACTGCTGCGAGTGTAATGACTGATGTGTTCTCATCCATTTCCTGTCCGATCTCACATGTCATCTTGAAGAAGCTTTGCAATCGCTTCTGTGTTTTATTGGCGTTGTCGGATTGTGCACGACGAGCTTGGAAAAACCGATCGCCCTCGGAAGTATTCCAACCCTAACCGTACGTAAGTAAAGGTTTTGATATCTTTCCCTCCTAGGTACCTTCAATCGGAGATCAGCCAGTGCTTTGAAACTCTGACTGTTCTCTGTTAGATACTGTGCTATGATCGCCGACACCGAGATTTCCTCAGGTGGCAAGGTGCCGCGCATCATCTCCTCTAGGTCTGGGTTCATGGCTGGAGTGTTGCTGAATTGAAGTTTGGGAAACTAGATGGGAAATATCTAGCGGTCAAGGCCGGAGGAAGGTTATCAAAGGATGACAAAAGGATGGAAGTGCCTACTTCTCCAGCAGTTCCACAGTATCTTGGATGTTGTGCTTCGAACAATGTTGTCGCAAGGGCCCCTTCTTCATGTGTAGGAGTTTACATCTAGCTGCGGGGTACGCAGGAGGCTGTACGATGTGAGGATCCCCAACAGACCGTGTACAGCGCATGCATGAAGAACACCTCCTTGATGTGACTAGCTTGGGACCAGTCAAATCAGCCTGATACAACTGAAATTCATGTTAGTGCTCTATAGACGGGAGAGATTAACGGTGAGGAGCCTACTGTACATGCGAAGTTGAAGAACAGATAGACTCGTTTGCGATACCAAAGCTCGTTGAGTACTTTGCTGTGTGATCCCTGCGCAGTGGTGTGTTTCTCAGAATCATAGCGGCTAGCGGTTGGTTATCCGGGTGCTACGAAAGGAAACCCGATAGACCATGCATATCTATCGGCGTGTGAGCCTGACAAATGATACCCTAGCAGCACTCCGAACGATGCAGGATGCATAAGTGGCGAAATACTCGCTGAACATGAAGTGGCGTTGCCGTGCCCTGGAACACCTCCAACCCAACCGATCTCACACTTTACCTTTGACACGACCTCGACGAGCCGGTTCAGACGCCATGGCACTGACTTCTTCTTCTGGCAAGATTACATACCAGCTTGTCGCAAGCTCATATGCACTCAACGCGCTTTTCCAAAGCTTCTTCGTGCTACCAACCAACCCTGCATCTCTCTACCTTTCGAACGCTTCTCAAAATCTGATCATCTGCATTTCGGCAACGTGTGTCGTCAAAGCGGTCTTCAGTCTCTGGTCGAGGCCCTTGTTAAGGGGAAAGAATGAAGAATCTAGACTCTCATGCACTTGTAGGCTCTGGTTGTTGTAAGCAGGCGACCTTTGATGCCACACCAAACTTCTGTTGCCTAATAATGACTTTATCCGGGTATCGCTCGCTGCTTTTGGCAATGTCATGAGTCAACTGTATGCTGTGATACTGGTCCAATCAAAGTTATGCTTGTCGAGGATGTGTTTCCGTACAAACACACACACACACACACACAAGACGGGCCGATGTGCCGCCTGCGATACAAGGTAGGCGGCGCGCAGAAAGCGAAAGCTGCAAGTGTATGTAGGTGTACATATCCGTAATTCTGTGACCTCCACGCTTCGTCAGTACAGTGCTACCATGTGTCACCTTCCAGATAGAGTTTAGTCCTTGTAGGATGACATGCGCAAGCTGCAGGCTGGCTTTCCTCCCCTTGTCACAGCGTTGAAGGAAAGTAGCAATTTTACACGCATTCATACTAGTCGTTCATATCTGTGGAGCTATCATCTCGCATCGCCGCAGCCACGCCTGTGTCCAGCTCCCAATTTATGGTTTGCCGTCTTTCCACGACTTCATAGGGCTCTTGGTTTCGACATTGATGGCAATGGGTAGGCTCTGTAGACGGGTGACGTGATTCCAGGATTTGACCGTATTCGAAGCCACGGGCCAGAGACAGTTAGTGTGGTTGAGGTACGGGCAACGGCGATATTGAATATGGGAATATGGCATATTGTTTAGATAGGTCGACAAGGTAGTGCAGACGCTTTCTCAATATCACGTCTATAGAAGATGCACAATATTACTAAGGAAATCGGTTGGCCATGATAAAGGCAGGACATAGAAAAAATCTTTTCCCTTAATAGCAACGATCTAGGCTCCCCATCTAATTCTGCACTTACTCAAGCAAGGTAACCAGAGCGGCATCTATTTCCAGAACAGTCGTTATCCTATGGGCCTTGGGATAGATGGCGGCAGATGCTGTAGTAGGCTTGATACACTGAATACCATCTTGACCTGCTCCAAAGACAATAGGGCACCTAGCCAGCCTTGTATATATTGGCTGGATTGCCACAGGCGATGTGGTCTGGTGGTATGTCATGAACCACGACAGACCCAGAACGAACAATGGCACCGTCACCAACTCGCACCCCGGCTCCTACGACGCAGCAATCACCGATATAGACATTCTTGCCGATGTGGATATCTTTAGCGACTTCAAGACCGTAGCTCCTTTCCAATGCTTTCAAATCAGTTGGTGTTTTCAAAGTGGTGATGGTAACACATGTGCCAATCCTGGTGTTGCTTCCAATGGTGATCTTGGCTGAATCAAGTAGTTGGGATTTAGGTCCAATTACGACATTGTCGCCAACGGTGATATTATAGCCGTAGTCACAGTGAAACGGTGTAGCAACGTGTGTACTGCTACCAAGCCGACCGCCGACCGGACTGTCTCCGTAACAAGGCTGAGTCCATGCTGCCTCTATAGCCGCTCTGAAATAGCGCTCGTGCATACATTGTACAGCCTCAGGTACCGCATCGACAGTGTTGTTGAGGCGGTGTAGTACAGCTGCGCATTGCCTTCGATCCTCAACTAACTGAGAGTTGTAGGGCATGAAGGGCTCTCCGTCTAACATCTTCTGCTTCTCAGTTTTCAGGGAACTCGTTGCTGATTTGTGCCAAGATAGCGATGATCTTAGCAACGCAGCAGTTGGGAAAGCTAACAATGGAAACCGAGATGATTGTGCTCTTTGTTGGTGAGCCTCGGACGCTACTGTAGAAGGTTCAATAGTGACACAACCCATACTCTGCGGTATCTGGTTATATACGGGTAGGTTGTGGTATGACGAGGGTGGGGTTTGAATGGGATGCGTTACTCTACGGTCTTGGTTAGATGTGTCTCTCTCGTGAACAGGTACAGGCACATGTGGAGATGGAGGTCGATGAGCAAGCAGAGATGATTGCTCTCTTGGATACGATGCGTGGGATAGATCATGGCTGCCCGTCTCCCCGCTCGATGCAGGCGATTGATACCTGCGTTCTTCGCCAGTAACGGCACTGTCAACAGCGTCTGCACTTCGGATGAGATCATGGGGGTCTTGATGGATTCTCTGGCTGCTACCAAGGCTAGGGTCGCCGTTGAGTATGTATGCAAGGTCGTAGCCGCGTGGTCTGCTTTGGGGCCTCATTGGGAAAGCATCATGATGCTGCAATAACTGGATGTCACCCTGAGGTGGTTCGTGGGGCCGAGTAGTCCGTCGCTGGCTATACCTGCGATAATATACTGGAGACTGCATGTGCTGCTGTGCAAGCTTCAAGTTCTTCGACCTTTTCTGGCAGGTGGGTGAACTACCTCTGACGCTCCGGTTTGAAGCCGACAGAGTCGGAAGACCACCAGCTTCAGTCTCCAAAGAGCTAGTTTGTTCCGAAGTATAGCGTGCACACTCTGCTGGAGTCGCTGCAGGCAAAGAGCATGTTCTGGCTCTTCTCTCCCTGGCTGAGGCATTCACATCCTGCCTGGTAAATGTCTGCCCGGCTGTGATCTTAGTATCTAGCTTCAATCCTAGCTGTGAGGATGAAACTGAGGGTGCAATCGATGTACGATCTTTTGCTAAAACAGGTAAAGTATATGCACGCATTCTAGGGTGTTGTGGGATGGATCCACCGTGTTTTAGAAATGGTAATGTTGACTGCTCGGAAGGTGCTAAAAGCCTTGTGGGTCCATCGCTTATGGCGGGCTCAGCCGGTGCATGTCGTATCACAACCTTTTCATAAGTTCTGCGCTCCTGAGAAAGTCGTCCTAGTGATTGTTCTAAGCTCACTAGAGACTTGCTTTGCTTCTCGACCGTTTCGTCTGGAAGTAGAACAGATACAACCGTTTTGAGAACAGGTCCCCTCTCCGTCTCTGCGTAATGTACCGCTTCAGCTTCAGCTCGAAGTTCTGGCTCTCTGTAAATAGACTCGTCAGTAGGTGCGATGGGCGTGGACGCTAGGATCTCCGGCTCGCTGTGCATTTCTTGCGGTTCCTGTGTCTCCAAAGGCTTCTTAGCTGCCAACAGCGCCGACGGAGATGAACCTTTCTCCTCAAGCGTACAAGCATAGGCTTTTTGTGGCTCCTGCCTAGCCAGCTCCGACAGCCCCAGCCCATCCTGACTTGGACTCTCCGGAATCTCTCTTTCCTTGCATCCTACGTCTTGGAACTTTCCTACAAGACCAGAGTGCGACGATAGTTGCATAAAGCCAACACTGTCGACCTTCTCGATGCAAGCAGGGGACTGAGCATGCAGACTGTGTCGTAAGCCCAGCGCGGCCGGATCTCTAGTGCCCAAATTCTGTAAACACGTAGTCAGTAAGCCATACTAGCATTTTTGAGGAAAGATCACACCACTTCATCCGTATCGCCAGCACCGTTCACGGTTGCTGTGTTCTGCTGGTTGGAGCCTGATGTTTCTTTCAGTGTAGTCGTAGTATTGATTGTCAAAATGACGTTGTTCTGCCTAGCAATTATGATATTGCAGGTATATGAGTTTCTATCCTCTATCGCACACGCGCTTTGCTGTTTCTCTAGGAAGAGCGAATCGGAATTGCGCCGTGACTGATGCGTTTGCTGCGGAGAAGCTGTCGGGGCGCTTTGACATTGAGGTAACCTCTTCGTTGGAGGTTGCTTAGCCGTCACCAGTCCCGGCGACCCGCCCAAGGACTGTATTCGACTATCGGCTTCTCCAAACGATTGAGCTTGACTGTGGGTATGTCCGACAACGGTGCTTCGAGCAGCAACGATCTCCTTCCATTCTGCTTCTAGGGCTGGAGTGACGAAGTCGTGCGGTTCCCATGTCGGGTTGTACGAACGTCCCGTCGCTGGGTCAATACCCTCCCATTCCACCAGGTAACGCGACCCGTTGTCCTTCAGGATCCTTCTCGCCGCCCAGAACTTCTCGCTAGCAAGCCCATTTCCTTGACAGGGTTCAGATGCGTTGGTGTAGGCGAGCCGTGTTCGACGACGCTTGTTTTGGGCAAGAGTGTTCAAGGTCCGTTTTCGCTTGTTCGCTGTTTGCTTCGAAACCATTTCGCCATACGACACTAGGTAGTCGTGTAAGTTGAACAGACTTCTTAAACCGACCCTACTGTTTGAAGGTCTGCTTTACATATTTTCCAATATCATTTCTGCTTTCAATGCGTACGTTCTTTGTGGGATTCAAATGGGTGACGGGGTAGGGCGCAAGTACGAAGGGCTTCCTAACGGTTGGGGTCAAGGAAGGATCTGCAAAACTGGAGAACGGCGTGAAGTAATGATATCGCACAAGGAAGACCTGCAGCGAACATATGGCAACACGTCGCGTGACGTTGTGAAGTCAAGGAGCCGTCATCGTGTTCAGCAGCTGGTCATTTGGACTCCGTAGCGGCGCGGTTGCCAAGACTGCTACAGTGCCCGTGCACCAGATGAGCACCATCGCCAGTTGAGCACCCCCACCACCACAACAACAAAACTTCAACGCGTCAAAACTCAACCAATATGGACCTAATTCGAGAAGCGATTGCAGAAATCGAATCGCGAGAACTAGGAGATAAATTCTTGTATCAAGCAATCGCGAAAAAGCATGGTGTAGCACGAATGACGTTGATGAGACGACACCGCGGCGAAACTGAGGCCTATGGCGTGCGCAACCTCTCCCTCCATCCACAACACGAGAAGGAGCTTGTACGATACATCGATACGCTTACCGAACGACGTTTGCCACCTACAAAGGAAATGATACAACGCTTTGCTTCAGATTTGGCTGGAAAGCTGGTTTCAGAAAGCTAGGTTGACCGGTTCATCCGCCGGCACCCCAACCATCTCATCTCTGCCCACAGCAAGGGGATGAGCAAACTTCGTTGCAACGCCGATTCAGGAGCCAAGTACAGCTTGTATTTCAAGCTTCTAGTTGAAAAGATAGAGGAGTACAACGTCCAACCCTCCCATATATTCAATATAGACGAAAAGGGGTTTTAACTTAGAAGGATTAGCAGAACAAAGCGTATCTTCTCCAAGGCACGTTAGGATAAAAAGGGGGTACGCCAACCGCTTGAGGATGGCTTAAGTGAGTGGATCACCGTTGTGGCGTGTATTTGTTCGGATGGGAGCGTATTGAGTCCTTCTCTCATCTTCAAGGCAGCCAACGGAGCTATACAAACAAGCTGGGTTGATGCTGTACGAGCAGGAAACTACTCAGTATTTACTACGTCATCACCCTCTAGCTGGAGCAACAACGATATCAGGTTGCATTGGCTCAAGGAGGTGTTTGAAAGAGAAACCCGGCGGCATGCTTCAACTAGGTATCAATTACTACTCCTTAACGGCCATAGATCTCATGTTACAATAGACTTTATCAATTATTGCCACGATCACAAGATCCTATTAGCTGTTTACCCACCTCACGCTACCCATACGCTTCAACTACTTGATGTAGTAATGTTCAAACCTCTAGCAAACGCTTACTCAACTCAGTTGACTCAATACCTTCAAGACAGCTAAGGGATACTCAATATAACTAAAGGAGACTTCTTCCCGCTCTTCTGGAGGTCCTAGACTAAGGTTTTCAAACCTCCCCTCATTAAGAGGTCCTTTAAAGCAACTAGGATACACCCACCCAACCTAGACGTTGTACTTAGTAAGTTTGCTAAGGAGGGGTCAGATTCAGAAGCCAGTTCAACCTCTGTACTCTCCAGGGAGGATTAGCTCAAGCTAAAGACAATTGTACGTCGTGAGGTGAGGGATCGTAACAGCAAGGACGTCAGGAAGCTTCAACGAAGTTTACACCACCTTGCAGCTCAAAATACACTCCTCCACGGCGAACTCAAAGGCCTTAGGCAGTCCCTAGCCATCAAGAAGAGGCGGGAAACCAAATCCTATACCCTACAGCTTGAGGATCATCCTAAGTATCATAGTAGAGCTGTTTAGTGGTCACTAACAAGCGTCAAACGAGTTCAGGATAACAAGATACAACAACAACAACAAGCCAAGCTTGAAAAGCTTCAAAAAGCCGAGCAAGCCGAGATCAAGAAGGCAGCTCGCGATTGCCAGCTTCAACTTCAAAAAGCAGCCCGTGTTGAGCGGGAGAAGGGTTGGGAGGAGACCAGAAAGCGGAAGGCTGCAGAGAAAGCCAAAAGAGAGCATCGTAGAAGCCTCCGCGACGCTGCCAAAGCTATACAATTGCCCCAATCAGGTAAGCGCAAAGCGTCAAAACCTCATAAGCCAGCTACAAAGCGTCAAAAGTGTGGTGGTGTTGCTCCAGCTGTGGTGGGAGCCGCAAGGGTTGCACGAGCTGCTCCACCGCGTAGTCGACGGCAACGACCGATAACGCCCTCTAAAAAAATTTCTAAATAAGCCAAAACTTTCGTAGGCCTGTATATAGTATAATCCTAGCTTTGCGCAATTTTATTACGATTTGTGGTGGCTCTACAGCCTCATCTTGTTAACTATATTAAGTTGTTAGGGGTGCTCAACTGGCGATGGTGCTCATCTGGTGCACGGGCACTGTAGGTATCGTGTGTGACGGCCACCCTGAACATCACAACACGAAACTCAGCCCCAACTCCGACGCGTCGTACTTAACTCCACCACCATGAGAGTTACTGAGGACGCGCTTACCGTAATCGAATCGCTAGAACTAGGAGCATATTTTACGCACCAGGACATTGCTGATTGCGATGGTGTGCAGCGATCTACGTTGTCCCGAAAACACCGAGGTATTCATGTGTCAAGCCCATGATAAATGGACTTGAAATCCGCTGGTGGCCTGTTAGCACACTCGTTGGGATGAGCCCAGGAACCCTGTTTCCTCTCACGTATGGTTAGCTACAAGAGAGACAATATTAAACAAGTAGCGTGGATGAGCTCCTTAGTGGGCTTAGCATGGCTTCATAATCAATAAGGGGTCCAGCGTGTCGCCAAAATTTAAAAGTGGTATAGCGCCTTTTTACAGCCAAAACCACTCATCTTCCAGCCACAATAACAAAAGAGCAACCCAAGATTACGCTGTTCTGACAACTGGAAATAAAAGATACGCACTGAAAGTATATACTAACGCCATTTGGCTCTTTTATTGCAGCTTGAAGTGGTGGTGTTGTAGCGCGGGTTTTGTTTATAGTTAGCGGGAAACGGAGAGGCTGGTTTCATGACCAGGCAACCGATGCGACCATACGAGTGGAGACTGTCCAAAGTTTCGGAGGCCCTGCAACAATTGTAAGCAGCCTATCTTTCTCAGGATGTTCGAGGTCTTAATATCGAAATTGGGGAGCGATGGGGTCATTTCCGAAGATATTGCTGGAGATAAGATACCAGCCAAGGAGTAGACTTGCAGACAGTATGAGGAGAAAGCGAACAAAACGTGCAACCTATAGACGTAGAGTAATCAGATCAATTGAGGTAGAAAAGCCTGTACTGGGGCTGTAGCACGCCACTAAAACCAAATAGTACACTGGCGGCGATGCATTTGCCCTAGCAGGCATCAGAATGCTGACTATTGCCTATGCAAAGCGGAGCTGGGATATTGATTGTTAACTTTACAGTGCTTGTAACCTCAGCCGAGGAAGAGCTAACGTACAGTTCCTCTACGCAGGGCTAGCAGGCAGAAAGGCCCACAATCACATGCTATAGAGCCACATGTCAAGTGCTTAGATATATACCACGAAATGTCAGTCTTTGCGGGGATTTTTTCGTGCGTAGTTCAAATGAATAGACAACGTCCGAGGTGCGAACCAGAGGTGGCGATCCACACAGATTGTGCGCCATCTGTTATTTATCGCCAGGAACGACCTGGGATGATTCAAATTAGGTTCTCATAGGCGTGGAAGAAGGTTTTGCATATCAACAGATTTACAGAAAGTTGACGTTGGCCTCACAGGCGAAAGTGCAAATTTTTCCTTGAATAAAATGCACCTTTGTAAACTAGAACGTGGACGTCTATACAGCTGTAATTTTTTGATTGATAAGTCGAGGTACGTAATCTGAGAAGTTCGATTACAAAGCATAAAGTCGATAAGTTTAATTTCCGTTTCAAAGTCTAAGTACCTTCCGACTGGTCAGACATGGTGAGCGTTCCATCACACGTGGATGTACATTAGTTCGATTGAACGCATACACGCGTTTTTAAGAGTAGGATGTGCGATTGCACGACCGGGAAGTATCAGGGTCAGAAACAAGACGCATCATATGCTAGGTACTATAACTATAAATTTTCGATTAGCTAGCTTAGTTTGATACTTAAGATCGCCGCCACGATCTGTAATGTGAGGCAATGCCACTAAGGCGTAACCAAGGATACCTAATCTTAGCCTAGCCCATCACATCTACCTAGCCGCCGTTTATGCGCGTTTCTGCTTTCGAAATCGGGCTAAACCGCCAAACCGGACTAGCCCGGAATCTATCGCCTGCAAAGACCTTGTTAGATTTTTACCGCTGCTGTGCGACAGCGCCTGAACCGAGCTGACGGTATACGCGATGCCAATAAGTGCCTAGTCTATGCATATGAAGCAACCACAAGAATTCCAACAGACTCACTCCGCAAAGATGTGTTCGGTCATGATTGGCCAGAAATTGTCTGCTGACGCTGGTATGCCCTTTCTCGCGCCCGACCGATACTGCGTCCGCAGTACTAGAGGCGACCCCAATGCTGTTGGTACAATATACACTAGCCGCCATCGCATTATTCCGCTTTGCCCTTCACCACCATTGAGCTCGTCCACTCAGGAGACTCTTAAGAAACGTATAAGATCTCTAAAATCTTTCCACAGTGTCGTCATGTTTGGTCCGGTTTATCTTGATATCCTCACTTTCTTCTACCCGATAGGAAACACGCCTGCAACATGCCTCACACGGGATTTACCACGTGAAGACAAAGGAGACTTGCTGCTTCTAGGTTGTGGTGACGTTCGTAACGTGTTGTTTACACTATACTCCGAGCAGAACAATTGTATGTGTAATATATAGTAAACTTCGTAAGGCTGACGAAACATAGCTCGCAATTTTGATATCACGTGCTGTGATATTCAAGACGCTGTCATAGGTATTTGCAAAGCCCTCGACCTAATTGTCATATTGACGGTAGCAACAGCAAGGAACATATTGCTCTTTTCGCTTATTCTCGCGGACACTGATGGCAACCGCCAGAGAATAATTTGGGATATCTACTACCATTTCTACTTGGACGAATCCTCCCTAAAGGTCCTGACGGATCAGGCAAAGGAATTAGTTTCTCTGTCAAACTCGTTGGACGCATGGCATGGAACAAAATATGGCAGCATACTGAGGTTTTGTGATCTCTCAACGTTCACCCGAGTGAGAGCCTTATGGAAGTCATATTGCACGCAAGACTCGAATGAGAACACAAGAGTTGTATTCAATCATATTCTCGAATCGAATATCCAGCGCGCTAAGGAGGTGAAGGCATACTATGTTGGGGGCGAAAATGCATACGTGACTACAGGAATACGTTCTGCAGCCCCAGTCGGTATCGCATACGCGGAGAACGCCCACGTGTTGTATCAACACTATTGGAAGTATGGGAGCACAAGTCAAGATGCTGAGGTCTTGGCAAAAACGAATCTTCCAAACCCTCTGTTTGCTTTCCATACCATTGGGGCGCCTACGCTCCATTATGGAACGGATCCGCTTCTGGGCTTCCATCTTGCGACGGCATTTGCACCAGTAAAATATACCGCTTCAACTGGATCCTTAGCAAGGTCGGTTCCCCTTCGCGTCACAGAGGCAGCACATCTTCAGTTTCGAACATGGTGTCACGCATTTCGGTTGTCTTCTCAGATGAACTTAACCATTCGGTTCTTTGCGGGAGATGCGATCGCTTTCGCACATGCACTGCATCATCTCGAGTTATCTGGGCATGATTGGTCAGGAAATGTCTATCGAGATGTCCACCATTTGAGTCCGATCGAGCTCGACAAAAAGGAGTACAGCACCACACATGGAGCACCCTTCGCATTCAACGTTGTGGACACTTCCAACCTCGTCGATCATGTGGGATCTCTCAACCTACTCTCAGCAGTATCACCCTTGCTGAAAAAAGACACATCTTCTACTCTGTATACCGAGTCATTGGTGAGGAGAGAAAAGGATCATCAAGCATACGTTGACTCCATACTTTGTGGAGATTTTGCCACCATGTCACTGTTGCTTGATCTCTTCCCAGTCGAGTATTGGACCAACGCGTCTAGTTCATCTACAGCCGACGATGTCACACTCGAACAGGTATTTCGCGCGACCGATAGTAGCAACCGTAGGCAAATGCGCGTTAAGTTAACGTGGAAGCGCCTCATTTCGCTTCCAGCTGCGAACTCGGGGATGATAGAACCGAGACTACGATTCAACGAAGCCGATTTGGCCCACATCCTTCACAATGTCTACCGAAATATGTTCCAGCACGAGAACGCACTGTCACTGTTCAAAGACCTCGACATGCTCAAGATTGAAAGAACCTCCACATTGCACTACCATCGTGGTAGTTTTGCTGTGTTTCTCCATCGGCTTAGAAATCGAGTTGCTGTGAATTGGCATGATTTGATGAACCGTATCATCGGACTGATTGAAAACGATTCTACAATCACAATGGGGAGGAATTATATCCAAGAGCTCTATCTCTACCTCCATACCCTGAATGTCTACTCTGCACAGATATTTACTCAATCGGATAATGTGGTGACTCTGGCTAGAGATGGAATCGGCGGATGGAAGGACCTTCCGAAAACAGTTTGCATAACCCTAAAAGTGCCAAGAAACAAGCTGAGCGCTCTGACTGGTCTTGATCCAACAGATGTCGGTACTCCAATCGGCCACTGTATCGTGCAGTCATCTTTGAGTTCGATAGTCGGGCGCTGGCAAAATATCTTCTCTGGAATCCAACTTGCGTTTGGTATCATCTCGACCGTTGGCGAGATTCATAGCAACGAATATGCAATTCAGGTCTCTGAGGACGATTTGAGGTGGCAGGGTAAATCCCCACTTGTGGTCTCATTCATGACCCCATCTTGGTTCCTCCTGCTTGAGCCGAAAACTGCCATCATAGCTTTTGGACTACACAGTACACCGCAGACCTGTACTAAGTTCGTTCAATCATTGGGGTTCGAGATGAATATATTCGAAACGACATTGGGAAATGACGATTGTGTTTACATTTCAAAACATCCACCCAATCTGACCAGCATTGCATCCGGTCACTGTTTCAGTAGAGCCGAGCACGAATCCTCTGGATTGGCACAAGGAGAGATCAAAACGACCTTTTCCGCGATCGTTCTGCAACCAGAGGGAAAAATTACCGCCCTTTCTGGTCGTATGGATCTTCTCTCAGAAAGACTGAAGCGTTCTCTGAGAAGTGGTTGTGCTGTAAAGACCACACAAACAGCCCCATGTGACCTTGTAATTGCCTTCAACGGTGAGGATGCCCAGATTTTGTCGTCATTCCCGGTTCCAGTCTGTGGTGATAGAAGTAAAACCCGCATTGCAAGAAAGTCTTCTTATATAGAGGTGGAAGCACCTCTCCATTGGAGTGTATGGACGAGCTTTCCAGCGTTCTCTCCCTCGTGTATATGGAGGAGAACTGCGAATGTACATCATGTCGACGTGAGATTGTTACCAATATTGGATCGGAGTCGCCATGATCAACTCAAATGGCTGTCGCCGCACGTAGCAGGCATGTTTTCCAAACACGAACGAACACAACGTGAGCAATCCTTGTCCGTGGCGGATGTTATACCTCCAGATGCCCGAGTGGGCTTCAAAGACTCAATATTCTCTATGTGCATGCATTTTACTGGAATTCAGGGAAGACAATTACATATATTCGGCTTGGACAATCCAACTGGAGGCGGAGTTCACTTTCTCATTTTTGTGTCTTGCATGAGACTAGATCTTGGCAGTCAAACTGTCGTGCTCGACACGGGTGTATTGCCAATCATCAAGAGTCTCGTACCCTGTATTGCAGGGTTCTTGTCAGCAGTCACTGAGAAAGGATTTTGCCGTATCAGAGTCGATGATGAAGAACTCAAACTCTGGAGGCAGACACTGCCGTCATTTGCGGAGAGATGTAGGATCTGGAAACACCATCCTACATGCAACCGTGATGCAGGGTACATTCATCAGACTCAAGATGATGCCAACGATGTGTTTTGTGCCTGTGGCCGTGGCTTTCTTCTCGAAGATTTCGTTCCAGATGTTCCAAATTGGGCTGATGTACGTGGGCTGGTTACTGGAGCGGCTATATCCCCAATATTCTCAGTTCCCATGATTGACCCGCCATTCGATGGTTTGCTAAACCTAGACCCAACACAAGGAGGTTGCACGGTATGTGGTAACGGAGAATCTATTGGTGGAGGAAAACTCTTGAAATGTAGTGCGTGTCATATCACTAAGTACTGCTCCTCGAACTGTCAAAAGTCTGACTGGAGGAGCCATAAGCGCATTTGTAAAAGGTGGACTTAATAGCGCAATGAAGGGGCAATAGTGATATTTGATAAACTAAAAAAGGTATCTAACTATTTAGTATCATTCACTTCGAAGGCAGACTTTCGAGAGTGTTGTCTCCACATGCAATTCTGAGGACAAATAAACCATTCAGGCATATTTCCTCATAAATCATTTTGTTTCATTCAATTAACCTGCCATTCTTTTATTTGTGCAAGATGAATGGTGCAAGATCATTCTAACGCTGTTTGATATCAGGGAACTAGCGACGGGGCACTCTACAACAAAGAAGTGCTATGACTGACCGTTCGGAAAATACGGCTATGTAATGATGTACTGTTCCCCTGCTCACCTGAAAATAAAATGCAAACATTGCACACAAAGAAGCCGCCTGATTGACTTAAAAAACTGGTAACTACCCGGGAAAAAAATGAACGATCGGCCAGTAGAGCCTGGCTTTCGCAATGATAACTGTGCTATACGCCACTACCTTGTCAGCCCGCTTCCGCCCTCGCAGTCTCACTTGTGTTTTGCTTCGATTCGTTCCGGGCCTCAAACATTATATGTCATCCCACTGAATTGCAGTTATTCTGTAGGTTGGAATTGATGCAGAGTGATAACTCACGAACTTGTGGGCAAAGTAGAGTATAGGCAAATGGGGGCAAGCGTTTCTTCGAAGGAACCGGAACCTGCCAAACTCAGGACGCTTAGGGAGTCTTTAGTGCATACATGTTCAGAGGGAAGGTCGATGTTTGCAGTGTCAGTCAAAGACTACGCTTGTCGGTAGGGTCATATAATAGTTCTGTGGAAAAAAAAAGGCGCTACTCTCGCGCAAGGTCCATCCAGCCGCCGAGTTACAGCGGGTTGACTTCTTCTATGATCAGTAGTAAATGCAAGAAGCGCCTAAAATTGCCGATTTTGGTCTACGCATGATGAATCTCTGTGCGCAGAAATTATTTATTCATAAGATATGCGCACGTGATGTCTAACTAGAGACCTCTCCTAATAATCAAGCCTTTGCTAGACCCCTGGCATATGAGCTGAGCATAGATGTTGTTGAGTTTGTAAGAAACTTGTAACTAGCTATACCACATATCGGTAAGAAGCACTTTACCATGCTGTACTTTTCCTGTAGGATGCGCGGCGCAGTTGCTTGCAATAAACTGGCCTACCCTTGTTTGCACTATGATGCATTGGGAAGTTCGCTTGAGATCCGTCGGTTGGAGAGCATAAGTTGCTTACTGGCAAGCAGTCGTGCCACTGCGGCACAGTTCATATCGTGCGCTGAGCCGACAGATCCTTCAAAATGCTTACGGTCAGGATCGAGTCCTATCGCGGTCGACCTCGCAGGACGGCCGCAGCAGCCATACGACCCAGGTTCGGCCACTTCTGCGCCGCAATCGCTGCTATCAGCCATTGCATTCATACCACTGGCCGTTTCCATACATATGTAGCAGGGAAGTATGGGAGAAGAAAGTTACAGCCACTCTCGAAGATGGCTTATGCGAGTGCATTATCCTCCTAGCGTGCGCATACGCTGACGGATCAGCGCTGACGCTAAGCCTTATCTGTCAGGCAGCGAGCTTATCTGTATTCGACTATTTGCGAACATGGGCTATCGCAATACCCACATTAGGTTAGCATCACATAGTGCCACATTTCGGATTGAGGCGCTGGTGTCCCTCCTAGAGACCCTTGTTGGACGCAAATGAGAATGTTGAGAAAAAGTGTCGACCAAAGGCCTGACATGTTCCCTATCCTAATGCTAGCAGCATGTGATTGTCATCAAAGCTTAAGTGCTACCATGTGTCACCTTCCAGATAGAGATTGGCCCTGGAAAGGGCGACACGCACGAGCTGCAGGCAGGCTTTTCTCGTCTTGTTAGAACGTTGAATTGGCAGTGGCCCTATCATGCCTACACGCACTCATGGTAGTTAGCCAGTCATGATTATGCTGCTATCGCGGGGTGCTCGTCCCACGTCTGGCTGGTTCTTGCCGTGAACGAGATTCGCCAAGTAGATAGCCGTCATCGCATCTGCATACATGCGAGCGCGTCTAACTAACTAGTATCTGTAATTTCAGCTCTAATCACGCCGTACTGGGCTGGACATGTTTTGTGCAACAAAGCGACTAAGCTCTCAATACCATATCTACGTTCTCTGAGACGTGCAGGAAGCTACTTATGCGCGAACGCGTGGTCTGCAGTATTCTCTTACACCGGTTGAAGTGCTTCGGCTGCTGGAATGTCGTCGCGACTCAAAACAAACCAAAGCCATTCAACTTTCTCACACACAACATGCGCCATGATGTGTGAACATGCACTCGACCATGAAATATTGTCTACAGGATTTCAGACACTACCGAATGAAAACCTCGTTGAAATTGCGTCTTTTCTCAACATCCTGGATCTTCGGGTACTGAGTAAGGTCAGCAGGAGGCTTTATTACTTTGTTCAAGATTACTTCAAACGTTATCGATACAACGCAGCAATTTGGACTATGCCGAACGAGATATTATTCGAGGTGGTACAGCACTTAGATTGGCAAAAAGATCAAATCTGTTTTGCGCAATCAAGTCGGAGGTTCTATCCAGTCATCGCAGACTACATATCTCGTCACAATGTGCGGTGTAATAGAAGCAGCCTGCTAAACTATGCAGCCAAAAGAAACCTCACGGCGATGACTCAACGGATTCTACAGGTGGGCGGAGATAAAGAAACTCGACTTACAATTCCATGGACTGCCAACGACAAGCACTTGACTCCTCTTGCAACAGCCGCTCGTCATGGGCATCTAGGGATAGTCAAGATTCTTTTGGAAGCCGGAGCTAGCCAGTTCATTGAAGGGTTGAGGGTTCCGCTCCTTGTTGCCATTTTCGCCCGACACGAATCTGTGGCTCTGCTACTTTCTCAACAGCTGTGCGCGTCTGTCGAACCTTTGGGAAAAAGTGCAGGCACGGTGTTACAGATAGCTTCGGAAGTCAAACTGCCACGCTTGGTGAAGCACTATCTCAACGACAGAGACGTGCAGCTTCAACGACAACTGGACGTCAAGCACGTACACAATCTCAGCAACGCTTTGGTGCGCGTCCTTTTGGTAGACTTCAGCGATGCAGATCTGCTCAAGAGGAAGCTCGATGACGATGCGTACCGGATCGTGTTTATGCTGTTGCAGCAAGGCGCCAGTCCAGATATTCGCATCCAAACTCAATCATCGCCCGTCATTACTGCCCGCGTCATTGCCTCCAGGCATCCAGATCCGCGTATAAGGAATCTTCTCTCGGCGAAGATGCCTGCGACAACATTAGTGAACACCCGCCCAGTTGTGGGGCGACTGTGGATGGCATCTTCAGGAACCGAAACTCCCACATCCTTTACATCGCAGTCCCATGTACTACTCTCGGCTAGTAGTTCTTCTGCTGACTTGCTAAGAGATTTGAAGAGACTCAAATCGATGGGGATGGCTTCAATGGACATCGGTGAGTTTGTGTGGAGACGAACAAAGGATGAGATCCCGTTGAATGCTTCAGACATCGCTGAGGTGGTACACCGCGAAAACTGCAAGCCGAAGAAGAGCCTGGATTTTCATCCAGTAGAACTAAGCACCGAATGCTCCTTTCCCCAGCTTGCCTGTCCTAGGACTAATGCACAGAGCGCCGCTAGGGAGTTTTGGGCCATGATACCAGTTATTGACTCCAGCAATGCTGATCCGAGCCCGATGCCTCATACTAGGAATGGTTGTCCTGTTTCTCAGACAGCAAGACGATTAGAGAAAGCATCATGCGTGGAATCTTTCCCTTAGCTTACGCAAGTAGGCCCGAGGCCAAATGATGTAGCAAAAGATACCTGGGCCTCCTTTTTAGAACGCGAGGTTTTCCGACATACGAAAGAACCGCATGCAGCGTCTCCGGACCAAGGAGTAAACCAAGCAACAAAACAACTCCCTATGTCACGAAAACAAAGAAAATGGATACCTCTAGCATTTTAGCGCTACTAAAAACTAAGATCTTTCCAGCGAAGCTGCCATGCGGCTTCATCTTCATGTCGAACCAAACTCGACCACAAGATAAAAATGGCCAGTACTTGATAGTAGACAAGCAACACTGCGATAGTGAACATGAGACCAGTGGTACTGATCGAACGCATTGGCGAGTGCGTTCCCGAATGATCTGTCTGTTAGCTGCGATTCAGGAGATGCGCTTTATAGCTTGCAAAGTGGCTGTGTAAGGCAAAGAAGCCTCTAGCGCAATGGTCCGGCTCAGGATGACGGGCCATGTGCCAACCACATACGTGACGTAACAATATCATTGTAACAATAGGTAACTAGGAGCTTGTTGTCTGCAACAGCCATGCCCGATCATTGCGCAGGAAAGAACGTGTATCGACCTCGCTCAACCGTCCCCGACCGATGGCCGTATCCGCCCACCCAAGCTCGAGCCGTGCCCAACGATGGCACGTTCTACTTCGCCGATCCAGACTGGTTCAATGCAGCACAACTTCCAGGCCTGCTTTTGATCTTATAGGCAAAACCCTTCAATGCCACATCGAAAGGGAGCAGGACGGACAAGATTATCAGATTTCTCCAGCACGATACCAGCGTCTGACTTGGCGGCCTGACTTATCTTTTCGTCTACACAGATTTTAACCAGGCACAACAACAACGCAAACTTCAAGAAGCCCTCCAACGGGCCAGCGCTGGGCCCACCAAGTCTATCATGTTTCTGTCACCAACTACATTCACACCTACTATTGACTACCACGGCTATAGCATCCCCGATGCCAACCTTCACGGTACGACAAGCACTGTATCTTTAGGCTACGACGAATCAAGTGGCAAGCCAGTTGCTGTCAATATATTCAAATGTACTCATGCACAGTTCAGCGACCTACGAAAAGAGATCGACGTTCTAGGCTGTCTCAATCGTGTGAGTTGCTAACCAAAATCCGACAAACTTGAATAACATTTTACCTAGAGGAACGTATGCGAACTTGACAAAGTCGTCGATTGAGACCCATCTGCCGACCCACGTACCTGGCGCCAGGATGAATGCCGAACGGCGGGCCTTGTCATTTCGCCGCTAGCAATTACTGGAGCTCTAGAAATGCTTGCATTATGGAAGTCTCTTCCTAATCCTGCAATTTTCCTCCGGGATTCCGTGCGCTAAGTAGCATTCGGCCTCGTTCACGCCTTGTAGAGCTTAGCTTTCGCAGCACACGCTCCATTGTGGAGCAGCATACGCTCGTTGTGGATAATATCGATATCGGGTGGCGTGGGAAGACGCAGGACCAGATTTCGTCTCCCTTGATGTCGTTCAGGATTGACTCGCTTTCATCATCTGGGGCAATAGCAACTTTGACGGAGGTTGCCTGGTCAGTATCTTCAGAAGCAAGTCCCTGGTCAAACGTTGTAATGCTCACTTCAACCTCAGCGGGGCTCGAAGACGCAAAGCTAGCATTCAGAGTTCTCAAGACGATTACCATATCCGCTTCAGCATCGATCTCGTAGTTGAATGTAGGTATATTTGCAACTTGAGAAAATTTGGAAAAGCACGAATGAAAGTTTTGAACGCATGTAGAAGGTGGTCGCTGTTTTGGAGTGCTCATGCAGGCTCTGCCTTGCAAGGGAATGCCATACACTAAAGTGCGCTGCGTGGCTCCCGTGCAAATCAAACAGCCTATAACTATGCCAAAGCTGTGAATGTCTGGTACAGCAAGTCGGTGACTGCCAAGACCACATTAAAATCACGACTATTAGATGCTGTTTTCATGCGAATTGTACGAATTGAACAATAGCACATAATTGAGGGCTATACACCGCCAAAAGTGAGAAGACTTTGAACGCTCACTCCACTGAATCCACGTCTGCACAACAGATCCCGCCCACGGTGAATGGGGAATTCGGCAACAACCATTGCGCTCACATTCTCAGCAGCAACACCAGCATCTTCTAACATCTGCAGTACTGCACAAAGCGTTTCGCCTGAAGCTAGCGTGTCATCTACTACCACGATTCCACCTTCCTTAGGCACAGCACTTCGTTCAATCTCTATCCGCTTCTGTTTCGAGTCGCTGCGGATCAAAGACGAGACGTGTGATTGAGATTTCACAGCAGAAATGGTGGGTGGGGGAAGCTTACCAGCTTCGCGTATGAGTACTAAGGGGACGTTGACCCGCAAAGACAATGCAGAAGCAAAAACAATGCCACCGACCTCGCAACATGCCACCGCAGCGACGTTGCGCCAGTCGCCAATGAAGTGACTCTGTAGGAGAGACGTGCACAAAGCTAGCCCGTTCGGCTGTTGAGAGATGCCGAGCACATGGCGGAACACGACGTTTTCGTGTGGGAAATCGGGTGTTGGACGCACCATGTCAGCAAGTCGCAGTAAGTCTTCGTGAACCAAGGGCAGCAGGTTAATTTCGAAGAATTTTTTCGCAGCTTCATTTCCGTGCATTTCGTTGTCGAACACAGCACTGGGTCGGTAGCTCAACGCCTCCCGATGTAGCTCGACTGGTTTGATCGTCTTGTTGCGCGCACGACCAATGCTCTCATGGCCACACTCTTTACGTGACCATCGCATTTGTTCACTGGCTTGTACGTAAACATCGAGAAGCTTGCTGTTCGGCACAAGATGCGACAAGGCAGCGACAGGTGCTTTGTCTCGCATACCAGTGATCACCAATACGCCCACATCGGCAGAACCATGTATCACTCTCATGAATTGCTCCTCTGGCAGCCGAGGTTGGTGCTTTACTTTTTCCATGAAGTATGCTGTCAGTGCTGGGCGGTGCTGCTCCTTGTAGGCGCGATCAGAAAGCAGTCGATCAGGGTCGGCACCAGTAGCCACCGCGTATTCCCGCTTGATCGCTTCACTGATGCTTACGACACGAGTCGTGAGGCCACGTTCTGCGAACATGGAAACCCACACATCGGCACAATAGTCTTTGCCGGCACAGCTTTCACCAGTCACAAGAAGGATGAGCTTCGGACCTAGTGGCGGTTTCGGGAGCGGACAAGCGTAAGCCAATACATTTCGCGGATCCAACCGATTTTTGACTTGAACGAGCTGTTGCTGGTTGACGCCAAAGGCTCTGCTAGCAAGTGCGACATCTCTCGGGTCGGGTCCGAGGTCGGCGCAGTAGGTCCCACTAGACAATGGCAGCAAGTCCTCTGCAACATTGTAAACCCATCCTACGGCAGCCCGTGCGACTTCAGTGCCATCCTGATCGCGAGGCCAAACACCAGTTATAACGCAGGCAAAGTGCCAGTCTCGACAGCCGAAAGCAGTAGCTTCAGCCGCAATGTCGCTGATCGCCTCTCCTCCTTGCAGTAGATGAAGGTAGCACAGTGGCGATGGGCGAGCTTCCATGGCTACCACCAAGCGCTCAGCTACCTTGGGATTGCCTATGTCCTTCACGAACAGGCATCGCTTGAACGAAGACGTCTTGCCCCTGCCATGCCCACCATGCATCTTCGAAACGTACATCTCTGTCTCAAACAGACCGACGCTGTCAACCACCTTGACTTCATCTTCTTCTGCTCCGAGATGAGAACTGACAGTCGTGGAGAACGAACATTTCGACACGGCGGATGCCGTCGTAGACTCAATCATGGTGAAGCCGAGATGTAGTTGACTATCTTCCCAGTACAGATAGGCATCTGCAGAACAGTTCCGGCTGAGCTTCCTGGCAACGAGTTCGTCAAACCTGCCGAGCTTGAGCTGCGCTTCAAGACCACCGCTGAGTGGCACAACCCAGTTCCGAACGATATATACTGGGGCCGTATAAGCTCTGAATGTTACACTAACGATAATGCCGAGATTTGTCCCTGCGCCCTTTAACCCCCATAAAATTTCGGTTTCATTCTCTGCTCGAACAGACATAGCCGGTTGATGTTCACTTGGAACATAGCCCACGCAAAGGACCCGGCCAGAGTCAACACTGACCATAACAGCACCCACAATAGCGTCGCAGGCCAAGCCATGCAGTCGAGCCAGATGTCCAATGCCACCCTGCAGCCACAATCCTGCACCTACACTTGGGCGCGATCCTAAGGGTACTGTTACGCCGGCCGTCATAGTTTTCCTGATGACGTCTCCAGATGTACAGCCAGCTTCGACAACGACGAAGGCGCTGGAACCAGAAGTGGCAGATAAATCCTTTTCTTTTGTACCATGAATATATACTTGGTTGAAGGCACCCATGTCGACTGAGATGACGTTGTTCCAAAAACAGTGGCCGCTGTGTCCACCGCCGATGATAACCAAGCCGACCGCATGCTTGAGGGCCCACCGGACACACAACTGAACGTGGTAGATTTCCGTTGGTCTGCAAATTGCCGCTGGTCGACGCAGACGAGCCTCCCGATTCTTGATCTGCCTATCTGTCATGACCACTGGCAACTGCGCCGTGAGCTCTGATACTTTTGTCGCATGCTGATTGAAGGCCACCATAACATCCGGCGAACGGAATGAGAGATAACCTGGATACGCGTCCTCACAACAACCCAAATCTCGACACACCTTCCGCCACTGAATTTGAACAGTCTTTTGCACCTCTTCATCGTGCATTACGAAACCTGCGATGAAGGCAGTGAAGTCGTCCAGAACATGATCTTCATCTGCCACCCTGACAACTCCAGTCGGGAAAGCAGCAGATTGGTGGCACACTAGGCCATCAAGGTATAAGTTTTCGTCACGATGGAAAACTAACACCATTCCGCCTCTCCTCTCTCCAAGCATTTCCAGCGCCTGCTCTATGGCTTTTCGTTTCGATTGGATACCGTACATGCTGTGGCAAAAGAGGATCACGTCGTATCCCCTGTCTTCGTCAATCACGTCACTACTGCTGCAGCTCTTCATGTTTTGCTGTGGATCGAACGGCAAACGATGAATTGTTGGTGGCCTTTCCAGGCAAGGGAATCGTAACCCCATTGCGGTATTGACCGAAAGCCATCCTTCTAGGCTTGCTGCAAACAATCGATTGGGCTCAAAAGCTTCATATCGCCGGATCTTTCTTCTCTGATAATCGGGGAGACCGCCGAGCACACTCTTGGGCCCAGGTCCAATTTCGAGAGCAGAGATCTGGGGCCTCGAGTCGAATAGTGATGCCAGGACCTGAGTCAGCTGTGGGATGATGAAATCTTGATAACCTGTCGAACCCTGCACCAAAATTCTGAAGCCGTTGTCATACTGCATATCTGATAATGTCTGCTTTGAAGGCGTTGTCTTTACGCCTGTCTTCGACCGAAGGGCGCTTTTCAAATCTTGGAGAGTCGCCATCTTGTTCGTTTCTAGAACGCTCAAGGTAGAGTACTGAATACAGTGGCGTTAGTCTATACCAGTCGATCAACGAGAAATCTACACTCGCATGCACTTGCAGGCTCCGGTTGTTGTTAGTAGGCGACCTTTGATGCCGCATCAAACCTCTGTTGCCTAGCGATGACTTTATCTAGATGCTACTCGCTGCTTTTAGCAATGCCATGAGCCAATTGTCTACTAAGATGCTGGTCCAATCAAAGTCTAATGCTTGTCGGGCATGTGTCTCCGTACAAACGCACACCGGGCGGGCCGATGTGCCGCCTACGATAAAATGTAGGCAGCACGCAGAAAGCGGAAACTGCAAGTGTATGTACGTGTACATATCCCTGATTCGGTGTCCTTCACGCCTCATCAATACAGCACTACCATGTGTCACCTTCCAGATGGAGTTTAGTCCTCGTAGGGGCGACATGCGCGAACTACAGGCTGGCTTTCTTCTCCTTATCACAGCGTTGAAGGAAAGTAGCGGTGTTGCACGCATTCATGTTAGTCATCTATAGCTATGGAACTATTATGTGGTGCTCGTCCCACGTCTGGCGGGTTCATGCCGTAAGCAAAAAGCACTGAGTGGATGACTGTCAACGCAGCTACGTATATGTGAGCGCGTCCAGCACCTGCAACCTCTGCCTACATCTGCTGGGTATTTCGCCAAGATTGCAGAATCGTAGTGCGCCAATGGGTGTTGATTCGCTTTGTGAAGAATCTGAGTCGCAGCAAAATCTCATTGCCGACGGACTCCAGCTGCGCTTTTATATATCCAGCTGAGTACTCCATACCTTCGCTAATAATTGAGCTATCAAACAGGATCTTTCTCTATAACAGCACGCAGTTATCTCTTTACGGTTCTTTTTAAATGGCACAGGAAGCATTTTTATTCAACAATTTATCCAACATATCACGTCCTTATACAGATTTGTACTTCATGAATTCGGAATGAAACAGGCGTATGTCTGTTTCGAAGCAAGAGCCTAATGGTGCGTGGAGCAATTCATTGGAATTTGAAGCTTGGGTGCAAGGCAAATTGTTGGGAAGCGGATCAGGTGTGGTGGATATGGGTGATTGACATGATTTGGACAAAGGAGCAGGGAACGGAAACAATAAAACAGCCGACCGCATGGCGTAACGCTCAGATCCAGAACAAAGTAATGGGTAGTCGGACATGGCAACGGAGATAGGAGATCTGAGGCATACCGCTGTTTGCACAACACGAGCGATTTAGTAACGCCACGCAGCAGGTTCCACCTCATGGCTGATCCGTTCATTCAAGTAATTGAGGAGAAGGTGGCGGTTCTAGGCGTTTCTGCCGTTGCTTTTTTTCGTGAAAGAGATCAAAGTTTAGTTGTAAGTATGGTCCCAAAAGGATGCAATCGATTTTGTCTCGCTAACAACACAGGCTGACCGAAGCGCTTTTGTACACAACTGCGGCGAGCACATATTAACTGGCCTTAGCCTACAATTACATCTTTGAAACATAGTTACCAACTTGACTTCATCTTCTTCTGCTCCGAGATCAATATTTCCAATTAGGAGAAACAAACGTTTTGTAGCGGCAGAAGCCGTTAAAGACTCGGTTGTAGTGATGTTGAGATGTAGTTGACTAGCTTTTCATTACAGATAGGCATCTACAGAACAGTGTCGACTGAGCTTCTCGACGACAGCGTTTCAATCATATGCTCTTAGAAAGCTTTTAGCCACATGCTGGATCGATTCTGAGCGTGGTTTAAATCACTGGTAGTTAATTACATGAGATGTGCTGATAACTTTTGATACCAGCCCTGCTCAAATCGTGTTGTGAGCAAGTATCGATCTTTGACGATTTTAAAACGCGTGGGACAGTCGAGGTGCGGGAGTTTCGCCTAGGGTCTTTATAGATATGTACATATCTTTCACACGGATTATATTTGCTACCCCGCACAAAGGCAGTAAGTTATCCGTACTAAGGAGGTTTTTGCTTCAAATTCACATGCATTCACGTGGGTTGTTCAATCAAAACTTCGCTAATGTTGGTAGCCATGTTGAGTGCTTCCTCAACAAACGGCTAGCCGCATCATTGTCGTGTTTGCTAACAATGTGTCACCACTCTTCCCGCGCCTCTATGGCAGTTCTCGTTCTCATGTCTAGACACGTGTATGAGCTGTGCTTCCAAGAAGGCCTTTCTACCACAGTGACGTAGTTATTTGCTCCATATCTTGGTACTTATATTGGCGTGATGAGGCACGCTGGCTTTAGACCAACGCCTTCGCTCCAAGAGGCTGACCACGGATCGTTACAGCCATTTATCGTACTACGCAATGCAGAGGTATGATTAGTGTTCTCCCAAATAGATGTCTTGTTGGGGGAATAACTCGGAACAGTCTACATGACCTGATAGCCCAATGCGTTCTTGAACTCTCCTGCGAAACCAAACAGCACTATACTGCCCATATCGAAGAGCCGGAACAAGAAGACTCTGGAGTTATAGTTATGGTCATCGGGAACGAGAACAATAGCTGCTTCCACATGGCGGTCACGGATACCAATACCGACATCGAGAACGCAAAGGCGGTCTGCTCCCAGGCGGTCTTATATAGAAGTACGGGGGATGATCCTGACCTATATCATGCTGTTTACGACAGTCTTATGCAGATGGTTTCCTTCTGCCGATGTAGCCCTTCAAGAGAAGACCTTGAGGACGTTTCCTGTTACTCAATACAGAGAGAAGCGGGCAAGGTAGCACAGTGGTTGAAGACGTATATTGTCTCAAACGCAAAAGTCTTGCGTGGGTGAAAATAGGATCATCGAGGCTGTAGATAGCATGATGAAACACGCATCAGTGCTATATAACCAGCATTGTTGTGCTCTTAGTGCAGCATATGATATCATTTTGCCTGCATCCAGATCGTCTGTGATGTACATGTTTTTCTAGTTGTTCAAGCATTGCTTATTTGATTCGTCTTTCCTAGAAAGCAAGCGTTGACTCCATTCAGCTCTATCCGCAGACTACATAATTAAGTTAATGCTTGTGGAAGGTGTTAGGCTAAGTTGCATTACATGAAGGGTCTTACGTGGTAAGCGAAGACCCAGATAACTGCTATGCATCAAGGATACCAGTATAATGCCGGAGGGTCTCTGGAAGGCGCAGCGAGTCATATATCTGCTTCTATCAAAGCGAAATACACTCTGGATTACTAAATCCAAGGACTAGACGTCTTTCTTTTTTACAGCTAACGCTTCAGTCCTCCCATCGCTTCTCTGAACGTTTCTAACCCTTTCTCCAGCATACTCTTCCTAGACTCCAGATGAAGACGCTGCTGCGTGATCTCAGGAGACTCAGCAGCAACAAATTCCACCTCTTTCTCTGTCATCTGCGTCACAACCAGAGGGGAAAGGATGATTTCAGGGAGGGGTGCAACCAGGTGGCGCTCAATGACAGCCTTGGTGATAGCATTGACGAAGTACTTAACCTCATCTTTGTAGAACGCACGCTCAGTATCGAGAGCTTCCTGGCTTGAGAAGACGTCCATGTCCAGCTCTATCGCTTTTTCCATAGCCTCTGTGAGTTTAGCAGGGTCAAGATACGTATATACGTTGTCGTCGTTGCGATCATAAATCTTGGCTTCTGAGGCTTTTGAGGCTTTTTTCGTGATCTCCTGGTGCTTGCGTTGACGCATCTTCTGAACAGTGGTGGTGAAATAGTGGTTGTAAGTAGCTGGATGGCGAGCTTTGTCCATGAGGATCTTGTGCAGTTCTTCTTTCGCGTCAGAAAGAGCTTGAGCTAAAGCACCATCTACGTAGAGGCTAGTAAGCCTGTCTTTGAACTCAGATGGAGCAGCATCCTGGAGAACCATATCGATGAACTCTCTACAGGCACTTGCAATTGTGTTGACATGCTGAGAAGCGATCTGCTCCCATGGTTGGGACTGCTCCCAGAAAAGCTGTGATATCAGCATTGGCTGAAACGTGCCAGGAAGCTCGTGGCCACGGGAGCGCTCCAGGGTTTTCTTGACCCATCCAACGGCTTCTCGACGCGTAAGTGTTTTGGGCTTAGGAAGGAGCACGAGCTCTGGGTGTTTGTCGAGATCATCAAGCTCTTTTTGTGCTCTTCTATCCTCTTCAATTTCCTGCTCTTCATCACCTGGTCCAACTCCAAATGCGTACTTATGGCCTCTCAAGCGCATATCGGTAGCGAAATTAATGTTGAGGTGTTGAATCACGGCCCGAAAGCGTCGGATGTTCTCAGATGCATCAACAGCTGCGTCCATGTTGATCGGTCCGAAGAACGACGACTCGTAGTAGCCTTTGGTAGCAGAATTCAGGATATCGCTTATGCGCATGCTGATCTTCATGAGAACCATGCGCTGCTCATAAGTGGTGTTGCGCCTGTCGCCTAGCTTCTCGATCTCTGCAACGGTACCCTGAAGCTTGCTGACCATTTCGTCCTTTAAAGAAGGAAGCTCCTTGATCAAGTGACTGAGTAGTACCTTACTGAGACGCTCGCGTAAAGAGCCAATGCCAACGCACTCACGAGGCAGTTCGGCGTAACGACCCTTGCTAAAGAACAAATCCTCGTCTGCGTTGCGCTGCTCAAAGGAAAACTGCATCTGGTTATCACCACGATTCTTAAGCATGTGCCAACCACGCTCCAAGTAAATATCCTTGTTCTGAGCCAACTCGATCCAGGTCAGCTCGTTGTCGGTGCCTTCACGGAGGAAGTCAGGCTTGGTGATGATGCCAAGGGTACGACGGCCCTGCTCGTCGATCTTGCGGCAGTGGTCGAGGATGATTTGGTTAGCGTAATCATTCTTTGCGCTAACTACTGCCAAAATTATGGTACGCGGATTTTTCATGTACTCCTTAACAAGATTGAGGATCAGCTCTTTGTCGGTCTCGGTTTGTGCTTTGTTGGTAGCATGGATGAGACCTGGAAGGTCGACAAGAGTTCTAGTCATTTTTTAGTATACCTCTGGCATATCGCATGAATGACATACAGTTGAGGCCTGGCTGGACCAGTGATCTCGACCGATAGCACATCACGAGAGAATGCCCTTGAATTGATCCCACCTACTACTCCCAAGCCCATCGCTTGTGTTGCTTCTTCGATCACATCTGGGAGCTGACTGAAATCGTTCATGACCCTGCTGAACGACTTGAGCTTGGCTTGCTCCGACTTTGGGCGAAGCTTGTCTGGAGTGATAGTGATTGTGCTGGTGGACGACACAGAACGACGCAGGATGATCTAGAGCTCATTAGCATGATTCTTGGCGTAACTGCGATGTCACCCACTTCAGTTGCGAATCTTGTGCACAGGTTTTCCTTGCGAGGAAACGGAATTTCGGTGATAGCCTCAAGTACAGAGCTTTTACCGGATGACTGATCGCCACAGACTACGAGCTGGGGTAGTTCCACAATGCCACTGAGACCTGTGCGTCGCAGCTTGTCTACGATATCCATAACTTTACGCTGATCTGCAGACTGTAAAGCGTGCAGAGAGCTCGTAGTGACAGAATTTGGGTCAATAGACACCGGTGTGATTGGAGTCTCGACGCCTTCATACTCGGAATCGCTAGACATACTACTTGCCATATTCGTAGGTGGAGTCTTTGTGTAGGCGGAGCAGAAACACTAGGCAGTTGAAGTGGTCCAAAATAAGTAACTTAGTAGAACAAAGGGCAGCTTAACTTAGATATAGATCCAAGGGAGTTTTTGTAGTGGAGGCGGAAGAAACAGACAAGCAGGCATTGTGGGCAGAATCAAACCTTCGCCTCCTACAATGCCCCAAGGATGCCGATGACACTAGTAAGATTTTGAGCTACGCTACGTGTCCCACCACCTGCTAAGAAAAGAAAAGAAAGGCGGTCAGTAACGTCTCACTTCAACAATTGGACAGAAGGTTTCAAGAACGTTAGATGGGAAGCAGCGTTTATGGGATTGGATAATGCGAGTAAGGTCGCAAGATAGAATGGCTGCAATTATCATTCGTTCACCAGCGTGCTGTCACATCAGCCCATGTACATTAGCCTGCTGTATTTACTCCTGTCTATGGCAGTTGCATAGGGAGCGTCGGGAAATGGCGTTGCAGCAGAAAGCTGGGTAATTATATATGCTCATACAATCTGACTAGTTAGCCGTAGACTCCATTCATCGCAGCCCACACTCGACGAGCTGAGCGCGCTCGCAGTGTATTTGTGTCTAATTACTCTATTTGACAGCTCGGGCATGTACCAGAGGATAGAATTTGCCCGCTCGTAACGAGGACTCCCCTAGGATCAACAATACTGCAGCGGCCTGTCACCGTGCTGCCTATCGCGACTGTCTCCGCGGAAGATGTGTAGGCATGAGCATAGGATGATCACGGTGATATAAATCACATGTCTCTTTCAACCCAACCGAGCGCATTGAGGATATCGCCATTGTTGGTACGAGGCTAAAACCCCAGGGCACTCTGAGAGGTGGTTCATTTGTTGCAAGTCACATTCTCATCTGCATGGCGCATGCGACTTTGAGCGCCTTGAAGAACGCCAGTACTAACTATCGCTTACATACGTAGAGCGCCTTTTGGGCGTATCTCACCCCGGGTGTTAAAGCTGACGGGCTTTCATGCCATTGGCGCTAATGCACTGTGGATACATATCTGAGCAGAGCCAGGTGGGATCGAGCACGGGTACTAAGTAGCAGACTTCGATCAACACCTTCACGTGCACAGTACTGAGTGCTAATGCCGTCTTATCTGTGCTCAATCACTGCATGTTGCGTTAGTCTTAGCCTTCTATTTGCCTTGCGCGCATCTTTTCTACGCTAGGTCATGCAGCTCAACCATCAAGACAGCTGATAATAGATCAGTCATGAGCCTATCTGCATTTCGCACGCACATCTAAGCGACCAACATCGGAAGATCTTTCGATCCAGCCTAGTAATCGGACGCTTACTATTTTCTTCGCGAATCATGAGCTGACTCCAGCATACGTCGACGCCTGTCCGGTGAAGCCATACAACCGGAACCGCAAATGCTTAACGCTGCCTTTCAGCGTTTGCGGCATTCCTTCCCCATCCTCTGTTGATGCATAAGTACTACTAGTGGCTTAGCGATACATATCCACAAAAGTCATGCAAACCCGCCTCTCACATCGTGAAGAGCTTGGTCCTCCATTATGTCACCCTCTTTAGGCATGCGTATACACGCATCTTCCATTGGATCTAGAGCCACCTCCCATGATGACAATGAAAGAAACACCAATTGTTTCATACGCTAGGGAAATGACAGCATCAATCTGCTCATGTCGATATCGCGTCGGCTGTCGAGGCGCTTACCAAATACCAAAATCAGCCTTCTTGCAGCTTCCTAGGTTTTGCCAGGCTTACAGGTTTGATGGAAATGACCAAATCTTGATAACTCTCAGCCAATTAGTGTGCGTGTTTCTGAAAGCTTAGATTGTGCTATATATGAGCCTTCCGTCTACTTACTTCACTTGAGAATGTGCAATGGTTGGAGCAAGCCACCTAGCTGAGAAGTGTCAGAGCAGCAGCAAATGCGGGCTACGAGCGGCCGCAGCTTATGCTAGGGCTCAGGTCTGTGTGGGAAGGCTGAAGTGCCTACTATCTTTCTTTTCTTTTTATGCAGCAGCTCTCGGTATCCATTTACTACAGTTCAGGGAATGGAGTGATGAATTGTCCAAATGTTGCAGCCCTCAGCACTAGATATGAGTGGTTCGATCATGGCTTGATCGGTGAAGACTGTATGTAACTGGGTAGAAGTACTGCAGGAGTGAAGATGTGGAAATTGAGATGCAGCAAGGTATCAAGAGCAAGTAAAAAGCAAACTGTAATCTCTTTGATTGTTCTCAAAATTAAAATGTGGGCTAGGCTGCTATTATAGAACAGTTTCATTGCCAGTGATCAATAGTCACCGGCTATCTGGCTATACTTGTGCTCAGTTGTACGGAACCACGAGAAACTCGCTATGAAAACTGACCCGGAAGAAAATCGAAGTGCTTCTTGTATGCCTTGTCATGTGGGGACAGCCTTTACACCAGCCTCGGCGCATATATGCATGACGTGGAGGCGCTGGTGTACTCCGTAGTTGCATCACAATGCTGCCTTCCCACCACACTCAAAAAAGCGCTCTCATTTCCAACCCAAAATGTAACCCAAACTCATTATGTGCATACCTATCGCACGAGCGACTTTGTTTTAAATGGCTGAGATTCTCCTGCAGTGTCGCTTAGATATATGCTTCCACGATTGGTTAGTATTACGTAGTGGGGTAGTGACCATTGCGCACGGCAAGCTAGCCCGCATCGGTAGATAACGATAGATGCGAACCATAACATTCCAAACAATCATTAGCGTCACTTATCGCAGCGCAGCAAGCAGGTATGTAGTTCGTCTAACGTCACTATCAGCGAGTTCATTGAGTGGTCTAGATTAAAAAGATCTAAAGCTTGTTTATCGTCTTTACTAGCGAAACCAGTAGTGATATCAGCCTTTTGCGACACTGATAAGTGGTTGATAACTCTGATGTCTTCTTACTATTTAAAGCGTGCCAATGGGGCAGCGTTGTCTTACGAGAGCCTGGTACGTGACTTCTGCTCTAACGCACATAGCGCTCGTTGGCCCTGTGCATCGCAGATCTTAACAAAGAGAAAAGGACGGAACAGGTATCACAACTATTCTGGCCGTCTACACAAGCTCTACGGTCAATGAAGTTCCAGCTCCCTAACTATAGATTTATAGAAGCTAGGACACGCTATAACATTTGAATTTAGTTTGCACTAAGCGAGGATCGTTGGCACTGGTGTGAATGTATAGGTGCTTTTGCCCTAGCGTTTCCTCATATTCTTCCAACGTTTGCCGTGGCAAGCAAACCCTGGTCGACCTGTCGCGCGAGATGTATGGCCCTTATCTCATCGCGGCCTAGATGGGCAAATGGTAGTTGAGTTGGAAGGGTGGCATGTGAGAGTGGTGGGGCAAGGTGCGGGGTTTGCAGCATGCGCGGGCTGAGGAAAGGATCTACGCGCACTCAAATTTCACGATAGTGTTTGCATCCATCCCTCCGCACTTCACCCGCTGTTGTCGTCTTAAAGAGCAAAGGAGCTTATTCAGGTTGTGAGATGAGAAGACCTGAAGAGATAGAAGAGCGAGAACGAGGAGGTAGAGAGGCAGATTCAAGCAGAGCAGCTAGGCTGAGACGCAAGCCTGATAGCTGGCTGCATAATATGCATCTGCCTGCATGTGTGCGGCTGTGCTAGACTGCTTTGCAGCGAAAGTTGAACAATATCATAGCCACTCAATAATGCACTTTATATTTGGTCCCTCAGACTTTCTGCAAGTAATTATATGACTGGTCTGAGGTCAAGGGCGTGTTGCCTCGATTGCGCAGTCATTAATAAACTAGAAGATATGGCAGAAATATTGCGCCTCAAGTGTTGCTTTGTGCATTCGAATCAAGCCGATAGAGGGAGTATGGGCATAAGTACCATTCGAAGGGACCTCAGCGCTTTGTTTTGCTATTGTCAAGATACCCCTAAGCATCATCTCCAAGGAGGTTGTCTTACTTCTTGCCCTCATCAAGTGTCGACAACAGATATTAGTCAGCATTGTCGTTCAGCTTTTATTGCATCTCTCTGAGTTTCACACGCAATGACCTTGACGATCGATATTGTATAACCAAAAGCCGGAGGTTCATGACCTCTTTCCAAGACCAGCTTTTCAGCCGCACTGGACGGCATACCAAAGCATATTGAGGAAACAAATTATATGTCACCATATAAAGGCACCAAAATCCCGGTAAGCCCTTCTATCGGGACCGCTAGCACATTTGCTGCATCCTGCACTCCTGCACCTCGCATCACGAATCACCCGGTTGAATATGGCACTGTCTAGCCTTATAGAGATAAGTGCGTCTTCCATCGATCCAAATCCAAGGATGTGGCGCTATCTGATTTGTGTAGCTTAACGCATCACTATGTTGCTGACTATCCCACGAAACAATCGCTTAACTGCGTTAAATCTGCAGCCACTTACAGTTTGGCTCATATATTGGATGAGTACTCAGCTTTTTGTAATGGCTTGCCACAAATCCCACCTTCTACTAGCAACTGAATCCTGAGCATCCCATCTTTCGCCATGTCCGTACTCATGGAAGTGTTCAACCACCTTGTTTTACCACCACAGCTTCCTGGCAAACAGGACACCAACATTGAAAGCACTGGTGGTGCCATCATTATCCGACTCATTCATGCTACATCTACACTGAGCCGACTCGCTAGTCATGGACAGACACCTCCATGGTATGCGATTCGGCAATACCTTCGCCGCTGCCAATGTCTTCATATAAATGGTCAGCTCGAGAAGCGGACACTGATATCAACATTTTGCAACTTCAACGAGGAGCAACCACTTCTGCTACATATCGCAGAACAAAACGCCGCGCTTATCATTCGGTACAATTCCAGGTATGGCTCATGCCCATGGCCATTGACACAATATGAATCCTACAGCTGACCAACTCTCTACCAGTGCCCAAATAGAAGCTGTTGTCTTCGAAGCTTTCGAACTATCGCCCCCATCCGCTGAAGTGCTGGCTAGTGAAGGTGCTCTTATCTGCAATTTCCCTCATTGCTCAGCGCAGATACCATCCGATGAGTTTCGAAAGCCGTCGTTCCAGCACGCGCTTGCTGATTTTCTGGAAAAGGGCAGCATAGAGCCCTTGAGATGCTTCCAGCCACTAGTGACAAAAGCGCAAACCCCAGTCGTCGAGTCGCGCGATACGGCCAGTCCGGGGCTTATAACTCATCTTCTTATACCCCTGCTCGAGTCGATTGGGTCGCCAGTAGATGAAGATGTTACTCGCTTAAGAAAACGTGTTCGTGATGATGTAAACATCGAGGCTGCGGAGCTCCCATGGCGGAGATTGCCTCTCTGGATTGCACTGCGCGTTGGGATTCAAAGACAACTACAACTCTCGCTAGGGAACAAAGCTGGGAGAGCTCACTACAAGTTTTTGATCGTCACTGTACTTGTCGAGATTCTACTCGAATGCCCCGGAAGACTGGCACCTGAGCTGACAATCACCCTGCGAGCCAAAATCTGTCGTCGTCTTGCAAAACTTGAGCAAGAGAAGAATAGTATGCCGGAAGTGTACGGCCAACTGTTCAACGCTACTACAGACTTCTTCAAGAAAAGCATCATGCAAGCCACGCAGCTAGTGAACTTAGCTTGGGAGAAATTCAAACGAGAGACGACACGGCCTGTTCCTGTGCTCCCCACACGTGCTGACCAGCAAGCACAATTCCTGTCTCTTCCCAACAGTAGATCGTACCTTCAAAGCGTTTTGGAGTCACCTCATTCACAGAAGAAAACCCCCCGATCTTTGCAACTTCCATCGCTACATGATACCACGATTGAGCAAGTTGAGCGGTTCACTGATATGTACCATCGATTGGCTGAGTTGGAGAGCAACATCGAAACAAGGGAAGAGCCCAAGTTAAGCAAAGACTTTACGCTTGAATCGTTTTGCGAAAAACTATCAGATGCAATACTCGGCCTTATGAACAATGTTGGGGCAGCGTACGACTCCGATCCCGAGCAAATGTCCATCTTCATTTTAAGTCTTTTCACACTTTGGGTGAGGCTGGACAAGTACATCATCAACATTTTCCCTATGATCCTGGAGTACCATCCAGTGTTTACTCCTGAACTCTTAGATACCCTGCATTTACCAAGAGCCGTGGGAATGCGGCGACTTCGTGACATCTAGAGCCATATTCACAACAGATGCAAAGGATGCAAGTATCAGACAACCATATTCGCTGAGCCTAAAAAGAATTGCTTTGTGGCAAGATACGTTTCGACTTCGATATCGATGCAACAACTCCATCAAAGCATACAACAGGCATCGGAGGTATCACGCCAGGCGAAGACATCAGAGTTGGAGAAGTGGTGGTCTGATTTTGATGAACATTCTTTGGGCATCTCTGGGGGCACATGTACTTGCACATTCAAGCGCGATGGGACGCGAGACGTGAGGGGATGTACCAAATGCTGGCATTGGCGAGTTCGGAACCGCATGCAGATCTATGCGCACGAGGATTTCCTTCCTAGCGACCCCATCAAATCGGCCGCAGTCATCTTCGAGTTGAGTATTCCAAGATCTTTCGCTGCGTATCGCAACGCAACGTGGAAGATTTTGATGTTGGCTTACCCTAGCAAACCGCAATCCGGATCACCCACAATACTCTTGAGAGACTACGACCCGCTCACAAAATATGCGTCGAGACAATCCACCGGTGTCACTATTGCATCGACATCTAAATCATTTCGTGGCACGCATTACAAAGTTGGTAAGAGGAAAATGAAGGCATCCGAATCCGATGTTCTTTATCCCAATGGATTAAATTTCTCGTACTTTGATACGGTTTCGAAGACCTGGATCAAGGACTTCGACAGACCATTGACCTTCCAACATGAGTGCGGAGTACATGTACCACCTGGGCTTTGCAGCTTGCTCATATCAAGCTCGTCGCACCCTCCCACTGTGATAACTGGGCCATCTTCATATGAAATCGTCGCATCGGAAACGCAATGTCCATCTGACATGTCCTTACATGAGTTCACGGCTTATCAACGATTGCTTTCTGGCAAGACTCGCCGATGGCTGACGATGTTGGTCGAACTAGGCGCGTCGAATGTGAACTTCAGCAGCGAGAGCACAATGCACATATTCAATCACCTTGCTACTCAAGCTGGACCGGCAAATGATAAGCACGATACATTCGGCGACATCCATGCGGTCTTCAAAGATATGTCATTTTGTGACTGCCTAGCCGCACAAGTAGAAACACGCCTCAACAACATCACGTCGAACTGGCGTGAGGTTCATTGCATGGAGACTATGGTCACGTTGATTCTGCGCCTTTGCGACTTGGCGGCCCCCATGGTGCGAGCGAACGAACTTTTGGTTAAGGCACGTTGTATCACCTTAGCTTGGATTACCCGTCTTCGAGCCGATGTTAGAAATGCCAAAGAGACTTCTGTCGCGGAAACAGCCGCTAAATACGCTTTTTGGGCTGCACTTCTCTGCCGCAGGACATTCTCTAACATCATAGAATCAGATGCTGTGATGTCAGAGAATGATCTGTCTATATTTGTCCAAGCATCACTGGCTCTTCAAGAAAACCTCCTTGTGGACGTGGCCAAGCTACCACCGATCCTGAAGAGGATGTTGATTCGAGATACCAAAACAACGCACAAGATCAAATCACTCTTACTACAGTCTATAGAAGCCCGTCCTCAAAGTGTTGGCACGGCGATCAACACATCATGGTCAGAACCGGGGAGTTCAGCAGGGAAATCCTTTAGTAACTGGCGGCAAGTCTCACCCATACACGACCGATGGGTAGTAAGTACTATGACGTCTTCGACAAAGAATCCAGCAAACACACAAGTAGTCCACTACAACTTTACAGAAGGTCACTTACTGGTCGATGGCAAGCCCTTAGGAAGACTTCCACGCGATTTTCGAGAGTCAGATGATGTGAAACAACTCTTTGGTAATCAGCATCTCCTCACATTCCCATCTGCTGAGTTTGGCATGTCGTATGTCCTCGCGTTGCGTATAAGAAATCACGAGATACACTTTGGCTCTCGGAGTGGGCGGGTCATCATCCGTGCTTGGAGTCGGGATGGGCTGCAGGAATACATTCCATCTCGTCTTTTCGTCGGAACCGAGACTGTCGACCTTCCCGATGGACTCGTCTCCAATTGTGCGCATTGGTTAAATCTAAACACAAGGTGTCTTGAGATCCGACGCAAGCCTTTCCTGTGGAAGACAAGAGCAAGCGACTGGAAGATTGATCTTATCAAATGGCAAGCTCATCGAAGCAATCGAACGTTACTAATCGACCCTAATTCCTCCCTCTCCAAGCAAGTTGCCGACGTCTTTCGCGGTTTTGAAGATCCACACAAGATTACCATTTTTCAGCCTATCAATTCAAGGGGAAAGCTATCTGTGGAACTACGCCATTTGGAACTGTCATTCTTCGTGAACCAAAAGGGGCTTCTCCAATGTCGAGAGCTGAACGAAGAGATCGATCCCAATCAAGATGCTGGCACACTGTACGGTTTCGAGAGTAAGATTGTACTGCGTGACGTCGCAAACAATAAACGCCGCAGCATAATAGCACCATGTGGACCAATGTCTGTTACACGCCGTGGGATGCACGTGGCCGTTCGAGCAGCTACTAGCACTGATTATGCAAAATTCGGAATTGACGATGTACTTGGACGCTTGTCGTGCCCTCCTGAGCCGCGACTTTTATACTCAAAAGCTCAATTTCATGCGTATACATCATTCGTCATACCTGATCCTTTGACTGGCCGCACAGGCACCGAAGAAGCATTACACATGCTCCAATCGGGTCATTGCCAACCATGGGAACCGTTGGGTGGAGGATCACTCAATGTTCTCAAATCAATTTCAGACCTTAGTCCAAAGCGGAAATACTATCCGCAAGACAAGAAAGCACTGCAAAATGTGTCCTGGAATGCCAGACTTACCATGGCCATCCAACATGATGCCTATGAAGGGCTTGTGCAGAAGATACTCGACAAGTCGGACCATCTTCAGGTCTTTGCTCAAAATGCAGTGGACGGTGTTAACATTGGCGCATACGTCCCGTCTCACCTTAGGGAACGGGGCCTTGCGCAGCGCCGCATCTTTGAGCGCAATGTCGACGATACAACTCGGACAGCAGCTAATGATCGGATGTACAAATCTCGTGGCCAGCAAGCCAATTCGGTACAAGCACGCAAAGTTTACCACATAACAAACCTTTTCCAGAAGAAACCCTTTCAAGTCCACACGGATCGAGAGCTTTCTACAATATTGCAGGATTGGCAGCTCATCGGTGGGTTTCATGGGATACGTCAGCTCGACGCTGCGAGCCTGAGCGACCTGGTTGAGAAGAGCATCGATGAACAATGGGGCAGTCTTGTGAACATCTGTCGCCATTCCAGTCTCGAAGAACCCTACAGTTTGATGTTTCGCCTAAGTCTCATGTCGCTTAACCCCACAACTGACCTAGACACCATCAAGATCCTGGCAGCGTTTGCGTCTCTGCCGACGTTGAGAGACTTAATACCTCCATGCTGTCCCTCATTCAACCAGTTTAGGCTTAACGAAGTGCCCAGCGTACAATCCATCTTCCATGTAATCTCTGTCGATTTACCGGAGAAGCGTCAGCGGATGCAGACAAGGGTTGAAGCAGAACATCGAAAGACATGTGAAGCTGAGGGGAAACGATTAGCGCAACACTTCCTCAGTCAATGGCCACATCGAAAAGTTGCTCTGGACGGGTTCGATTCGGATGTCCTTGATGTAGGGCTCGCAATGGAGCGTGTCGTCCCTGAGTGGGAGCGCTTGCACTCAAACTCATCCCTTTCAGAGTACATAGTTCATGTGCAGAATGAATTGCGATGTCACAAGGGACAGATTGATACGTCACGTCCAAAATCTTGGGATTGGGAGCAAGAACCATTCTATGGAAAAACACATGATCCTGTTATACCGTCGGTCTCGAGGGATCTTCTTAGTAAATCGTTAGCATTACCTTTCGGACGCCAGGCGTGCGAGCTACCACTGCCCAGTGACGCTACACTTTCTACCAGTACGAAGCAGAACACGATAGCAAGAATGTCAAGCAAGGAGACCGTCGAACTACGGCAGATTCTTTCCGATTTTGCGCAAGTATCAAGTCCTCTCCGCCAGCAGTATGGACTTGATTTGAAGATGAGCCTCAACGCCCTGGAGAAAACCAGTAATCAGACTCACGTTTCGCATACCACCCCGAATATCACAGCCAACGCACAATGCATCGAAGATCTTAGAACTACGGTAACTACTCACTTGTGTCAGATCCACAAGGCTTTATCTGAGAATGACGACCGCTTCCCATGGCTAAACCTTGGAAACCTCTGGCCTTGCATGACTTCGATCGCGCTTTTAGAGCAACTGCGCTCGAGCTCTTCTTGCAGGTTTGGGGATTTGACAAAAGAGACAATCGTGTCACATGGTATTTTCATCACAAAGTTGCAGCGACTAATGCGGATTCACAATGCGCTTTATCATGGCAAAGTGAAGAGCCTACAAGAAGAACTTGGAAACTTCGGCCATGAGAACTGGAGTCCACTAGAATGGCCTGACTGGCTTCTCTTAGAGATTGATAGTGATATTCTGATCCGGCATGAGCAGATTGACGTTGCGCATGCAATTATTGCGCCAGAATCGAGGGTCAACACGGTGTTGCAGTTGAATATGGGTAAAGGTAAGTCGAGAGCATTGTAGACACAAAGGACTCCCTCACAATCAACAATAGGCAAGACATCGTGTATTGTTCCCATGGCAATGGCCGTGATAGGAGACGGCAGACAGCTCTCGCGTCTCATTGTACCAAAGCCGTTACTTTTGCCAACTGCGCAAATGATTCAGTCGCGACTGGGCGGCTTAGTAGGTCGCGAGATACGACACGTTCCTTTCTCCCGCAGGACCAATACTAGCCCGCAAACGCTTCAGCTCTACAGAGACCTCCATCGGGAAATGTTAGAGACTCGAGGCGTTGTGTTGATCGCACCTGAACACCTTCTCTCCTACAGGCTTAGTGGCCTTCGACATCTTTCCAGCTCCAACTTAGAGACTGCACGCGAGATGGTTGAGTTCCAGGCATACCTCAGCTCGGTTTGTCGGGACATCCTAGACGAATCGGATGTTTCATTGGCAGTAAAGACGCAACTCATCTATCCGAGCGGCAAGCAGACTTCAGTGGATGGACACCCATACCGCTGGAAAGTGGCGCAATCGCTGCTATCACTCGTGAAAGATCGTCTTCCAGAGCTTGAGCGGGAATTTCCGCGCAAAATCGAAGTCCTAAAGCGTGGTCAGGGTTATCCGATGATATACATCCTTCAAGCAGATGTAGAGGAGTACCTGCACCAAAGCATTGTCGATGAGATCTGTACTGGAAGGACATTATTTCTTCGCTTCGCAGACCGTGCTTCGGATAGCTGCGATGTGAACCTGCGTAGTGTGCTCTTTGAAGAGAACCTGGATAATGAGCTGTTGGAGCGTGTGGCGAAATTGTTCACCGACGAGAATATTGCGCTGAAAACGCTATTGCTTGTTCGCGGTCTGTTGCGCAACCGAATACTGCTTTTTTGTCTCAGAAAGCGCTGGAACGTACAGTATGGGTTGCACCCTAAGCGAGATCCGATGGCAGTGCCCTTCGAAGCAAAAGGCATCCCTTCCGAGGAGGCTGAATTCGGGCACCCTGACGCCGCGATCCTTCTCACATGCTTGGCTTTCTATTACACCGGTCTCAGCCTGATCCAGTTCCGTGAAGCTCTTCGTCATGTTCTGGCATCACAAGACCCTGCTAGCGAGTACGACAGATGGACTAGCAGCTGCGATTCGCTTCCGGAGGCTTTGCATCACTGGAACGTTATCAATCCCGATGACCATGATCAGGTAGATGAACTCTAGAGGCACCTTCGAACCGACAGAATCGTGCTCGACCACTACATGAACCACTTTGTGTTTCCCGTGCATGCCAAACAGTTCGACATCAAGCTACAAGCTTCCGGATGGGATCTGCCCTTGTTCTCGCGAACGGAATTCGGCAAGACACTCACACTTGCAAGGACTACTGGTTTTAGCGGCACCAACGACAACAAGATGATGCTACCTCTCACTATTCAGCAGAGCGACCTGTCAAGTTTGCATCAAACTAATGCTGAAGTGCTTACTTACCTGCTGCAAGAACGAAACCGTGGATACCAACTTGTAGCTCGTGCCGGAAAGCGACTATCCGAGACAGAATTCCTCACACAACTCAGGGATAAGAATATTCGTATTCTTATCGATTCTGGCGCCTACATACTCGAAATGGGTAACGAAGACTTAGTCAAGGCGTGGATGGATATAGATACTCAGCCACCAGCAGCTGTCTATTTTGGTGCTGATAATCGAGCCTGGGTGCGATACCGTGGTACCAAGGCGCGAGTCCCCCTTCTAGCGACGCCATTCGCCGACAATCTAGACAACTGTCTCGTGTACCTGGATGAAGCGCATACACGAGGCGTAGATCTAAAACTGCCTCAATACGCTTGCGGTGCGCTGACACTTGCTCTTGGGCAGACCAAGGATCATACTGTGCAAGGTAAGTAGGAACATCCGATCTACAAAATGTTCAAAGTTGACGCGGAATCCAGCTGCTATGCGCCTTCGGCAGCTCGCAACTACTCAATCCATTTGCTTCTTTGCATTTCCAGAAACTCATCAGTCTATCCTTGACGTTTGTGGAATGAACAAAGACGATAAAGTCAACTCTTCTCATGTCGTTAGGTGGCTGTTAGAACAAACGTGCCGTACGAATGAACAGCTCCAAAATCTATACGTTTCCCAAGGTATCGATTTTTGTAACCGAGTAAATGCAGAATGGGAGAACGCAGCTTTTCTCTCTGATGCTCAAGACAGGATTGCATATGTTAGGGTGCTTCAGCATCCTGAACAGCAAACATTGGAGCAGCTATATGGAGGCTGCACGAAAGATATCCATGGCCCATCCTCTTTTACGACCATGTTTCCGCAGCTTGAGACTTTCAAGAACAAAATCAACCACCTGCGTCTGGGTATGTCGAGCACCGCAAATATCCTTCACTCCACTGCGCTGGAGGAAGTAGAACAAGAACGCGAGGTGGAATTTCAAGTTGAAGAAGTGCGTGAGGTGCAGAAATCATTGCATTACAAAGCCCATGCGTTCCCCGGAATTCATCCTGCCATCTCTAGCTTTGCGAGTACTGGTCATTTATGTGGAGACGTGGGGTACGAGCACGTGTTTGATGCTGTTTCACGCACTTCTATCGGCGAGAGGTTTGGCATCAAAGGAACAGAATCCCGCTTGTTTGTTTCGATGGAGTTCATGAAGACGATCAAGACTGATAAACGCGGTTTGATTGATAACTTTCTGGTGAGTTTGTCATATTTCACGTCTGGCTGATGTACTAATTATCTCGTCAGCGTCCGGTTGAATGGATTCTTTACAATCCCATCACCTTCGACGCACTCATCATCATCGCCGAGGAAGCAGAGATCGTGATTCCCCAAGTTCGCACTCAAACATCGCCTCCCAAAGTACATCTTCTCACGTACTCAGCACCAGCCACTAAGAAGATGCTACATTTCAGCGACCTGCGATACTACTCTGTACCGGCACTTGAAAGCAGACACATCATTCCGCAAAGCCTTACCATTGAGCTTGGCATCTTCGCAGGTGGGTTGTACATGAAACACGATGAATGTGTTTCTTTAATGAAGTACATTGATGACGCCAGCATGAATGGGCGGTCCAATACAACGACCGGAGCAATCAGCTTTATCCTGGAGTGGATTTCTCTTCGTCGCAGAGGTCAAGACATTATGCACACCCCGCTTGGCTACGTGTGCCAGGGTCGTCCGCTGGGTATAGAGCATGCGTTCTTCGTGACCAGCCGTCCTGTTGATGCTGGTGTGGTCGATTCATACCGCACTAACAGAGCTGTTACTGAGGCACAAGATGATGAGGATGATGAGGACGAGAAGCAATATGACTTGGAAGAGAGCTTGCCCCATGTTGCTCCGAGCTAAACCTATTTCTATTGTATTCGATGGAGAGCTACTAGCTATCTAATTGAGCGCTTAGATCTGATGCAGGTTGGAGAGACGTGCTCTCCCGGTGGTCCGAACGTCGTTCGAACAGGCATATCGATAATGTCTCAGCACGGCTCAGATGGACAAAATCTGGATATCAGGCCATATGCCTGGATTCTGTGGCCACATGCTAGGATCCTATCGAGGAGCTTTACCAAAGGGTTCGCAGCCTGTTACAGTCCTAAGCTTTAGTGTGAACTGATCCCACAGTGAATAGGCTCACGCCGGTAATTTCCATTTGGCTTCACTTCCATCCCAAGTGGTTTCGCTCCATCCCAAGTGGTTTCGTTCCATCCCAAGTGGTTTCGTTCCAGATATGATTTGAAGTCTTGGCATTGCCTCATCTCCACTTTTCGTTCAAGGAAGGTCTCCAAGGTTTTGCAACTTCGCTTGCCAGACATTTCAGTACTAAACTAATAAACAATACAGGCCTTGCATTTCGATGTTTTCTAAATATCAGTCAAAGCAGAGACAGAGCGATCTCAACACCCATACTACTACACCACTCTCTTACTTCATTGAACATGGCGCCCCCGTTCGTCCCTGAGGACGAGGAACTGCTTATCGCCATCAGGAACACCATCAGGAATCATCGCAAAGGCACCTGGGAAAATACCACAAAGCTATACAACATTCTTGTTCCGTCGCGTGTTCAGCGAACGCAAGACAGCCTGCAGAACAGGTACAAGATCATGAATGTAGAGCAGGCTCAGCGTAGAGCTCAGGGCAATTCTAAAAGCGCTCTTGAGGACAAAGTTCTACGGACGTTCCACAAAATGCTCAATGTGAGTATGTATGCCACTGAGTATCCGGATCTAGCCATACGGAAGAGCTCTGGCATACGAGCTCGAACCCAAACAGCAGGCGGCCGATCAAAGAACGGCCGGGATGGGCGCAATACCTCGATAAGATCCGCCGAGCCACACCAAACGCGATCCAAGGTAAATACATGCTTCACTCACCCCAGCAACACTTTCATTGAGATTTGTTCAGGGCCAATCGTCATCGAAGGACAGCCATATCAACTACCGGCCGAGCGTGAGGATGTCGATAGTTTCACAAACGTTTTCGCGCCCATCTGGAAGCGCTAATCTCCCAAATTTTGAGGTCGACAATTTCGCTTGTTTGACCTCCGAGATTCGCCTGCGACTCGATATCCTAGAACAAGGGTTGAGGCGATAGTATTCGCGAATGAAAGAGAAGAGGTGGTCACCAAGCGTTACTGAGGAGTCTTTGGAAAATTGGTAAGCCCATATTAGGGCGTACTAGTGTAGAGCTTAGTCGTGAACCTAGCTATCAGCTGACTATGGTCTAAATTCCCATTCTTGGCACTAATCAATCGCTCTTAAGGCTTGCGGTTTACATTGCTCTTCACACTAAGACGCCCCTACGATCCCTTAGGCACTGATTAGCTGAGGTACATGGCCTAATGCTCTAAATCCTGCAGTTACTTAATTGGCCGGGATCTACCTCGCCCTATTTTGGGCTTCATAACTAGCGCCTCAACTCTTGCGAAACCGTAGCCAGTCCTTTCACGCATCTTTCCACGAGGCATCTGTTAGCTCAGCAACTGCTTAGACCATGCGTTCGCTCTATTCGGGTGCTCGGACTTGATGTGCTAAATGAATGAGGTTTCGATCTCTGAAGAGCTCGAATCACCCTATCCACTTGAACCACTCTGGCTTGTCGGCGGTGTGACGTGTTGTAGCATACAGTTAAATTGCCACAGTTAGAGCTTGCTTTAGTTAGACCTGGGATGGGAGATGAATAGACCCATCGCTAAACGGTTTGCTGCCTGTCGAAGCAGAACACCTCGCATTGGCATTCTCATCTCTCCGAAATCTGAGTTCTTGGTGAAGTACTCTAGAGTATAGGAGAGTAAACACGATACGCGTACGCGTGTAGATGCGCACGTGCGTGTAAGATAGGGAAAGGGGTTAGGTAGACGTTAGATTAAGGAAAGTTGTGAAGTAGCGAGATGAATTTGCAGGGGTAGGTAAAACGCGCTATCAGACCGTAGTTCCCAAAGGGACCGTAATCCCACTGGCATATTGTGTAGGCTACGTACTTTAGGCTGCTTATCGTCCACCCATGTAACAAGACCATCTTTCCCCTCTTTCACCTTCGTCACCCTTTTGCAGCGTTGCGTGTCTGACGGGCGTCCTGCTTTTGATCTACTTTCCCATCTGTGGACCTGCTTGCAATAATCCTGGATCCGATCAATGCTACGGTTGATGTACCCGCAATGATGGAAATACAATCCATCCTGATATTGGCGACTTCGTCGGCAGTGTTAATAAAGACGACAAAGTTCTTTTCCCCCCAGAATTTGTCGAATAGCTGTGCCGTAGTATACATCATAGTCCTCTTTCCTACCCCGCCACACCATTGAATCTGGGTCAAATAAGATGCGTTGCTCCCATGGCCTTCTTTCCTCCTGATAAGCAGAGTCTTTAAGCTTACTAAGAGTAAGCATTTCTAGATGAATAGACTGCCGAATTGCATGCAGAGTCGACTCCCAATCTTTCGTTGTTGTTACTTGCGAAAGAGACAGAATGCGTAGAGTGCTCGTGTGAGTCGATAAAAATCTTAGCAACGTTTCTGTCTCCACACACATCTCAAGAGTGATTTGCGTAATGGCTGGCCATGGTCTGATTTCCGTGAGAGAAGTAAGTAATTTGGTAGCATCTCCTGCGCCATTCACAAATTTTATCCTCGCCCTTTGAAGGTTCTTCGCATAGCACAGGAAGCGGACAAGGCACGTTCTTGCAGCATGTGCGCTCATCATAAATTCTTCCGAGACAGAGCAATCGAGTTCCGTAAGAGTAGTAAATGGTAGTGCCATGATGGATAGTTGCGTAAGGTAAGGCGAAAGTTGTATCTTTCTTCTCTCTAGGTCAAATTGTGCCCATTGATCTGCTTCAACTTCATCCATGAATTCTTCTCGGCAGAGCCTTATTGTATCATGTTTCGCATCTGTCCAGAGGTGATATAGACGTGCCGGAGTCCAGAAAGCGATACCACTCGCGTAAAACTTCAGTATATCAAGTTTCGGTAGTGACGGGCTCGCCCAACCAAGAGCTCGAAGAGCAATTGATAGTTGAAAGGCTTCCATGTCGTCGTTGCGCCCGCCTCTCGTATCTGCAAATGGACGAAATCGTAGATGTCGCCATTGATAGACCCAAGCTTTGTCTGCATGTACAGCTTCATGTCTGAAATCTAGGAGATTAATGAATTTTGCAAATGCCTGATGCAAATACAGAGGCGTAGACCCTGCTAATGCTAGCAAGGTTGCTTCCCGAGGACTGCTGAATTTTTGCTGAACATCGTCCATCGCGAGTAATAATGACCGATCCGGAATAGACTGCAATTGTTCTGCTATAGCCTTACAATCTTTCATGTATTGCTGGTGAAGAAATCGACGCCGACCTTGTGGAAAGGACTTCCATTCGCTATGCGATAGTAGACCACGATCACACTTCTTTCTCATAGACCTATTAGAAGGGCTTTTGGGTAGGCAAATACTCCGTTCCCATTCGTAGAACTTGTCGAAATTGCGCAGCGCTACTCTTCTGCGAAGAATAATAGTTTGAACGTACGGCGCCAATACAGGATTACAAGCAATCTTGAGAAGCGACGTGTACCCTTCGCCAGTAAGCTCAAAATGTACAGTCTGAAAAAGAAAAGGCGTTGCGAGTCGCTTCATGTCCCGACATGAGAGTCGTAGTTGTTTCCATGCCGACACGCAAGCAAAACCGATAATGGTGATCCAAAGCTTATCTGGGAGGAAATGCGGGGCTGTAGCGTCGAATTCCTGGGATCGTGCGGGCGTCTCGAATTGAGACATCATGGCGCCTTGTTTAAAAAGAAGGATAAGAATGGATAACTCTTTATGACCAAGTGCGATGATTAGACGCTTATTTGCTAAACAAAGACGTGAAACGTAGTTGAGTTATGGTTTCAATAACGATCTCTTCGCAACTACCATACCAAGGCACTACTGGAGTTGGTCATAGCTTGCAACAGGTTACTGGTTGCAACACCCCCTGCATCAACAATATCCCCATCCACCCACTTCAACACGTGATAATTCCACCACCATGGCAGCTATCGATAAAGCGATTGCGGCAATCGAATCGCAAGGTCTAGGAGGTGAATTGACGTACCATGTAGCTGTAGAAAACTTTGGTGTTGAGGTGTCTACGTTGACGCGTCGACACCACACGCAACATAACTCCTATACAACTGCCTCTTTCGTCGCTTGTATTGGTTAGGCGTTGTCAACTTATTCTTGTAGCAAACGGGTTTTCGTTGTCCGTTCCAATCTATCTGCATGCTTTGTTTTCTTGCGTATTACGCCCTCGAGGAGCAGCCAGTTGTGCAGCTCATTTTCGACTTCTTCGCGCGTTCGCTTCTGTCCAACAAGTGGGCTCCCAGACTGTCGTTCGAGAAGTAGTCCATTCGATGCGCTTGCAGAGACATGCGATAGTTTATGTGACTCCTCACGAGGTGGCAGTGGCATACCAAAGCCAAGGCAAGTGTGCCAGTCACGGCTAAGTGCACGGAATTCCGCACGCAAAGAGGCAATATGCCCGCAGCCCTCACGTATATCGCGTGCATAGCAGGCCCCTGCCATTCTAGACGTATGAGCCGCCTGTAGATCCATAACTGAACTTTGCTCGTCTAAGCCATAGTCACGCTTGAACTTGCGGCCTTCAGGCATGTGTCGCCGGGATATACCAATGCTAGCATGTCGCCATAACAAAGTGCTTGCCTTAGTCTTTAAGCCGCGACTGAATTCCTCTTTTAGCACTAGCCCTAGCTGCGCACTCTCCCAAGGTTCTTCAACGCGCGCAGTCGACTTAGAGACACTTGTCCCAACTACGTTCGATGGCTTGTTGTCTCGCAGTGTGCCCTTTGCTTTTGCAGTGCGGCGCACATTGAGACTAGCAGGCCAGAGGAAAGAACCCGGGTCACCAAGGCCGGGCAAGCAAACGAGAACGGAGAGCTGCTCTACAAACGGTAGCACTAGCCACAGATAGTAAACTAAAATCTCCCCTACCTCCAAAGGCAAGTAACGATGAATAATCTTGGTAGAGTTAGTGGCGGCATAGTTCTTATGGTACGAGGTTACAAAAGACACCATGCCGTTCTCGATAAAGATGTTTCGAATTTCGGAACGAACAGAATTGCGCCAGCGAAGAGTAAGCAGTTCTGTTCCTCGAGCAGGTTGACCACCAGTCATATGAACTAAGAGGAGAAGGCGACGCAGAAATGTTTGCGTAAGCTGTAGATACTGTTTGACATGTTGTTGATTCCAGAGTAGCTTCTCAGAGTCAATGAAGAACTGGCGGCAAAGGTGTGGGCTATGCCGGATTTGACGAAGCAAGTAACGCTCCTGGCCACCTAGAATACTCTCGTTGCGCGGATCTCGAAGAAAACTATAGTTTGCTTGATGGACAGTGGGGTCGTCCTTTAAACTAAAGAGGTGTAACTGCGGTAGGCGTTGAGCTCTTGTTTCTTTGTTCCCCTTTGGAAGTAGCAGTAGTTCATGGAGGCTCTCGCATGCTTCTTCTACTTGGTCATGGAGGAACCATCTCAAGTTATTCATGGTAAACTCTAATGACTTGTAAGACAGTTTCTGGCCATCATCTGACCAGTAGATAAAGCCAAAAGACGTTGAGTTGTCGCGTAGCTTCGCACCGTAGGCTCGCAAGTTCAAAATCCAGTTTATCGGAGAATTGCTTCCATACACCATGAAACGGTCTTGAAGCTCGGACACTAATTCGTTCGGGAACTGTGTGCGCCCAGCCTTTTTCTCGACGACTGCGTGCTGTACTACTAGCAGCTGCGCTAGTTTCACAAGCCCAGATAGCTTTGGGGTATAAATCACAGCATCATCAAAGCCGTCTCTGTTCTGATTGATACCCAGCACTGCAAGAAAGCCTACAATAATACTGTCGGTAAGTTTTCCATGAAGCTTGTGGTCAAGCAATGCAATGCAAAGATCGAGGCAACTCTGCTGGTTTGTTGCATGATTGTACGTATTTGGGTCAATCCAGATGCGTAGTCGACTTAAGGCGTCGAGTTGGTCTTGTGTAAGCACAAAGTGTAAGGTCGAGTGCTGGGGAACGACGGTGAGTCGATACACAAAACACAAAAGCTTATGCCAGACATCCTGGTATTTACGATAGGTACCATTCAAAAGCTTTGTGTGAAGAGGCTTCTTGAACGAACGGCCTTGTACAAAGCTATTTATGCGATGCAAGGCAAACACATTCAACTCTTCTAATAGGACGGATTGGCGGGCTTCTTCGATAAGTGCATCGAAGCTTTGCAGCAGCAACAGCAAACCCACTTCGTTAGTCTCAGGAGGATCTAAGAGGTCGGCGACTTTGGACAAACTCTGGCCCACAAGTTGCTCGGCCCACTTCGTCTTCTCCAACCATGGAGAGATGTGGGTAGGGTAGCGATCAGTTGTGCCATCAACTGCTAAAAAAGACGGTCTGACAGCCTGCTGATCCAAACAAGCCTCCATCCGCTCCCAAGCACATGTCGGGCGGCTGATGACTTCGGAGCTTCGTAGTGCGGCCGGGAGGAGTGGTTGGTCGCAGGTGCTCTCAGACAAAGCGACGCGCCACAAACTAGAGCCATTGCCAGTAAGTGTCAAGCGCTGACAGACGACATTCGGTTCCCAAAGATCCTCTGGGGTCTTCAAATGTCGCGCCCTGCGACCACACTTAGCACCCTTGCTTCCTAGTGTAGTACCATCTCGCCCATGCGCGTGAATATAATGTCGCTGGATTGCTTTACGAGCAGATTGAATTACGTGGCATCGTTGTCCCGTACTAGGATCAAGGTATCGGCAATGGAAAGCGTAGACGGTACGGAGCTGTGGTATGGGCGCGGGGAGTACGAACGGGGAGGACCAATTTCGCAGGTCATCTTCGTTGCGAATTTTGACTGGGCGGCTTGATAGATGGAGAGCTTTCCACGCTTCCACTGCATCTACACAATCTTTATGATTGTAACAGTGGTGTCCTGTAGAGCTGAAGTGCGTGGGTACACGGGAGAGAGGGAGAGCAACGCGACAAGATTTGCAGGTAA